CGTATGTTTTAAACATAGCTCTGTTTTGCAGTAGCGGTACTGGGTCGTCTGACGGCACTTGTAACTTTGTCATGTCTCTAAGTTTCGTGTACTATAGCCACTTTAAAAAAAGGGGTCTATAGAACCCAAAGCTTTGTGACTTTATTACTGAAAGTCACATGTACTATCAGCTAACCCAGGCGCCATTTCCAAAACATAACTTTCTGCAAAACTTGGGGATTACGTCAGCAGGTGTGGGAACGTCCTTAGTATCAGGGGTAACAGGGGTCCTCTTTTAATTTCGCTACGAGTAAGAAAAGGTGACTCTACCCCATGACTCTAACTTACAGAGAAATTAAGCCATTCATGATGGGGAAATTAGAAAAATAAAACATTATAGGCCATCAAAAATATGCAAAATGACAAAACAAATTCACCAAACTCCGCCGCCTCTAAAAGAAAAATATAGATATATGTGTTTTCCCAGTGTTCATCGTTTATTCTTTCTTCTTCCATCACCTGAACCAACACGCTCTTTTCCCAAGCTATAGATATATACACCCACCAGACAACTTTCAACAACGCTGAAGTTAGAGGGAAAACCGCTAAACTGGCAACAATGTTCGTGATACAGAATACACAGCAGCTAGGAGGCTCCAGCTTGATTATACTAAGTCTGAAAAACAACCTTTCAATAACAGGTGCCGTATTGAAGCACCCTTTAGAATACTTGATATTGAACATCCAGAACGCTGCAATCAGAGATGCTATAGGCCCTCGATGATGTTCATCGCTCTAAAGAGTTTCGTTGACCTTGCATGGGCGAAAAGGTGTCCGGAAAGTTTTAGGCCGTCCCCATGAAACACAACACAAGGCAGGCCATATAGATTGCGTCTTCACTCCGTAGTACGAGTAGGAGGAAGTCGTATAGTATAACAAGAACATGTACTGGGACGTGAGAAATGCAATGGAGTTTTGACATTTGAGTCACTACAAAAAGGACTTTCTCAAAATATGGCATTAAAAAAATTAGTAGTAAAACACAATTCACAAGGTAATGCCTCGGTAGATTGAATCTCAAAATGCATATGTGGTTTTGAATATTTACTTCAAGAAGCTGTCCCACAATGTACAACTTGCCTATTTTAAGATACGACATCAATTTACAAAGTTATTTGAAAAAAAAAAAAACGTTTTGTACTTATATGTGGACGACCTAGTTTTTTACGTGTGTGGCACCATTTAGAACTAGAACGTCGGCACAAATGAACTGCAAACAAATATGTTCCAAATGTCTCTAAAAAAAAACTGTGCCTTTTTTTTACCGCAAAAAAAAACAAAAAAAAAACTGCATCGCTATTTTTTTAATTTTTTTTTGTCGAAATGTAGCGCTGGTGATTTGGACCAGATGCCAAAGTTTCAGAGCTTGCCGTTATCTTGTCTAAAAGGTTTAGGCTATTTTTTTTAATATGATGATGAAATGTGGCCCGTTTCCTGTAGCCAACACCATTCATCTCTTTGCAATAATTTCTATGCGAAATTGAAACTGCCAGTCGAAACTATGAATACAATATGAACTATGTAAGGCACACCTGAAAAGCGTTGATCCTTAACATGTTTATCTGCTAATTATTTTTTTATACATGTTATGTTCTGATATCTGTCCTATTAGTTTGTAGTTCTTTGTTTTCTTTTTGCGCTTTCGTATTATTTACCTTGTCGTCACTTTTTTGCCATCTGTATGTGTCATTTGATCCCCCCTCATGTAATGCATTTCATTTGAAATGCCTTTGAGGTAAAATAAACTGAACTGAACTGAACTGAACTGAACTGAACAATATATATATTTTTCATTTTTTCCTAGTTTTGTCTGGCAGTTTCAATTTTTCCCCGCGTCAAAAAAAAAAAAGAAACTACAAAGACACCTAAGATTGTTAACGTGTTGGAATGCGAAAGCATTCGTATACGTAGCGTATTCCTACAAGCTGCGCGCCGTGCTTGAGCTGACCGAGCGGCCTCTGCGTAGGCTATATACGCGCCCGGGCGGGATCTGCGACCCGCCGCCACGTCCACTCTGCAGAGCCCGGTAACCCTCTCCCTCTTACAGTCGGCCAGGCCGCTGCGCCATGGAGACGGCTTCTCTGTGGGGTGGCGTTCCTTGGAACTATGCCGCACGCCAGCCAATGGGAGTTTATCCGTCAATTCGCCGCTACGTACTACAGGCTTCGCTCCATGGGACAGGGGAATTTAGGTGCCGTTCGGCGCGGCTTCAGGAGCTGATAACGCCGGTTCGCTCCATGGGACCCAGTTAATGCCTCCGCATTAATATGTTTATAGTCAACGTTTTAGTACGGCTCTGATCATAAAACTGACGCGCATAAATCGGAAGTTCTCTTTAGTCACCTATTAATATTTCCAAATTGTAGTTGCTGCAAAAACTTGAAAATGTAATCAAGAACTTATCTTGACTGAAAAAACGACGCGCTTCCATCCACCCGTTCGACCGCCGTGTCTTCTTGTTGACAGTGATAACAATGAAGCGTCTCCACGGTTTAGAATTCCAAGCCGAAACTATGAGAAATGGCAGTCACTTCTAATTTTGTTCCTAATCTTCCCCATTTTTCCTGGTTGGATTAGCCCTTCCCCCTCTCCCCCAACGTTCTCAAAAATGTGTGTTACACGCAGTGCATAGTATGACACCGGTCTATTATAGTATCAGCGAAGTTATATCTCGGAAAATTCAAAATTTCAGGCGGAAACACCTTGTCTGCAAAAAGTGTATTATTTTCTGAACACACTTCCGAAGCCGCCAAAGTGTGTAACAAGAACTCTTTATATACTCAGTAGGTGTACCAATGACACTACACCTATTGTAAAAAAAAATATATAGCGTTTTCAAAATCTGCAATTCGGTGTGAAACACATTCCAAACACCATTATAGGTGTTTGAATTTTACTGCGCAGGCAGAAAGTTTTGTTTTCCTAAGTCCAGTGTCTTTTTAACGCGCATCACGCAGTATAGTAATACACACGACCGCACGGCAGTAAGATGCTCCTCCAGATCGAAACAGGTGAGGGTCGGGGTTGGACACAGGACCCCCGAGTTCCTTCGGTCTTTTGAATGACCATGAGACGCCTGTGATAACTACAGAAGAAGAATGCGGGCTTTCGCGAATCGCTGTACGCGATCCTCTCAAGAAGAGCGCAAGTTCTCGCGATCCATAATTATATAAGGTCCTGTGTTTTAGGTCTATACCAGGGGTGGCCAAACCGCGGCTCGCGAGCCGCATGCGGCTCTTTGCTGGTCCAAGTGCGGCTCGCGGATCCCTCGTAAAAGGACCCCCCCCCCCCCCCGGCCCCTTTCTGCGTCCCAGGAAAAAAAAAAAAGAAGGGATTTCAGGCAGAATAAAGTACGGCTCGCGGTTTGGTAACCTTGTACCTCCATACGTACATTTGCACAGCCTTGTGCACTCATACGTACAGTCAGACTCTAAACAAAGTTTAAATTCCCCCCCCCCCCCCCCCCCCCGCGGCTCTTAGAAGTTTCGTGGTTCCGTTTGCGGCTCCTAGGCCGGGTCAGCCTGGCCACCCCTGGTCTATACCGACAAACACTGGTGCTTGTCAGATAATTTTACGTAAAATTATCCCCCAAGACGGTTTTCTTTGAATCGATGAATACCAAAAAACCCAAATTTGAGCTGTCTTCGAAAATATATATATATATATATATATATCAGGAGTCGATAGCAACTACACTTCACTGGATCCTAATGTATTCCTATGTGTCTTGCAGATCCAGAGAAATGTAGTAGCCACTGTATTTTGGATTCACACGGGGCTGCTGATTTTTGTGCTACGTGGTCAAGGCCAGCGTGGCGTCCGCAATACTCCAACTCTGTCAAAGGTAGTTGGGTACAGATTGCGACTGAGGAAAAAAAAAAAAAGCAAACAGATTGGCGCACCCCAGAGCCGTATATGTCGCACCCTTGATTTAGTTGGTTGTAGCCTTTTCCTCATGGATGGCACAGAAATATTCCGAAACAAACGAGTTGCATGCTCGCAGCTGCGGTTGCAGGTCGGGCGCTCGAAGTGGGCTCGGGCCACGGGCTGTTTGCCGCCAATCTTACCAAGCTAGACTTTGTTCGCCCAGCGTCCTGTTCCCCGATATTATTGTGGGCGCCACCACCTTAGTGCTTGTACAGAGCAGAGGCACCTGTGGATCATCATACTTCAAAAGTGCGATTTCCTTATAATTAGATTCGGTGTTAGGAAGCTCATGTAATATTGCCTCGCTCTGTCGCGAACTGTTTGAACATTTGTCGATGACAGAAAAGTGTTTCCTGTGATTATTTAATTCGCGACAAGACGTGTCACGTTTGTGGCCGCGCTTGTTGCCAGGAATGAACGGTGAGGTCGGTCGGAGCTACATCATCAACCACTTAGAGGAAGGAGGAAAAAATAGAAAGGACGGAGAGGAGGGTGCTGGCAAATGCGGGGTACCAACACCTTATGCATAACAAGGCAGCAGTGCTGGAGTCTAGACGTAACCGAGGGGAGGCACGGGGACTGGTCTTCCTACTGATTGAACAGAAGTGCCAGCCGAACACTGACGTCGCATTCCTCTCCAATCCGCGCCCCGTGCTGGCCGATCTTTAGGTGACGTGGGGGTTTCAGCACTACGTCCTGGTTATCTAGGTGTTGTTTTCACTAATGGCGACCATTAAAAAAGCGGGCTTCTGATCGCTGCTATTTTCAGTGCTTGTGCACATGCGTGCTTGACTTGCTTTCCGAAGTGACGAACGTGCGCCTGCTGAGCTCTGGATATAGCACGTTGGACTCTGATGTAAACATTAAAATCATGTAAAATTTGAAAGCTTTTTTTGTGTGTATGCTTCCCTAGGAAAACTAACAAGTCAATTACCACGTCTCGGTTAGAAGTCAATTCACTTTCATCGACGTGCGGTGGGAACTAGCGATGGTTCGTCGCACTCAAAGTTTGACCGATGAAAGAAACTTCACCATTTAGTTGATCACACTTTATTGAACACAGCCTGCACATACGTCCCCCGTGCATCGAGGGGGCCGAAGCAGTGTTGCTCATAACTTTGATAACTTTTGTATTTACATTTTTTTTCTATTACGCTTAATTACAAAGAGGAACGCTTTCTTGCCTTCGAAGAAAATTAAAACAAAAACTAACGCGACATAAATGTGCACCTAGAAGTTATTAGAAATCCTATAGAGGTATCCACCGCAGGTAAGTCGACGATGCGTGTCAAAAAGAGGAAAACTAGAAAGAAAGTTTGATCGTTGCGATCGATAAGGCAAACGGAGTATCAAATAACCTCTTGTGAACGTAATATTAAATCTTCGCAAACAACACTCACACGCACACACAATTCACACAGACGATCACAGCACTATTGGCATGTCGAACTACATTGCTTAGACTGCGTGCAGTTAACAGAAGCAATGATGACTCAGCGACGTAAATACCAGGTATTGTCATGACACACAATCGAGCATTTTCTCGCAACTGATAGCGGCGTACAATGTTTAACGGGCTAGGTTTGTAAAAGGTCCAGCACCTGCTTCTCGTTAGACGAAGTTCGTGACTTTATAAAAAAATACACCAACTCTACCGTCAAACTGGGACGTCGTCAACATTCTCACAGAATGTTGACCAGAAGTTATACTTCATGTCCATTGGTTTAGTTGGAAGAAACTTAAAAAAATAGCTAACTCTTCATGATCCATTCGGTCCTAAGTTCGACTACGGTTTGTAGGCCAAGGCACTTAAACAAGCCCAAACAAGGGGTGGGTGATGGCGGGGTTTTCCCACGAGGTGTGGGCACTGCGCATGCGCAGAAACCAGCTCTGACGTCACGACGCAGCGCCATGACGTCAGAGTCGCGTGTTTGTGTTTAGCTGACAGAAATGCGAACGCATGCACTCGTGACGAAGAGAGCTCTCCAGCGTCATGTACTTCTTTCTATTTGCTGGGTTCAAGGAAACGCACACAGGTGATTATACGCCCAACTCATTGTTAATGAGGTTTGAACGCTTCTTCATTTGTGCATTTTTCTCGTGCTTTGGGGCGCAGTCGAACTTAAGGCGGACAGAAACCTAGCACAGTAGCTGCAGTAGTTCACGTAAGCAAAGCCGAAAGGCCAAAATATAAAAACGATCCTGACAAAAAGTATGATGTAAGTTTGCTTACACAAATGTACACATATTGTAAGAGCGCTCTGAACACACTTTATATAATAACTGTATTTACAAAAGAAAAAAAAAGTTTTCAGTATCAAAGCTCTGATTGAAAGCAAGATGCATTGTCTGAATTACTTTCAATCGTCAAAAGCTCAGGGTTTCAGAAAGGCACTTAGAACGCCACTTTATGAGCGAACGATACTCGAAAATAAGTTATCTCGTCCATAGTGTATACAGACAACAACACATGAAGGACACTGACACACAGTTTTGCGGGTTCGCGTCTCCGCTGGCGTTCACAAACTCAGTCGTTCCGGAGCTCGCGTCCACTTATGGCCCCTGGTAAAAGTATCGCATAACGCCGTCACGTCGGCCGGCGTCATATGTACATGACGAATAAACTAAGTATGAACATTATGTACTAACAGTATATTACAGTCCACGTAAAAAAATATAGCCTAGTTCCATGATCACGCTTGCACGTTTCCATTCTTCTCCTCTGGTTTTTCTCCGTCGTAGGTCTGTAAAAAAGGAAAAATATAGAAGCTGCATTAGAACGCGAATATTACCCTTATAGGTACTCCCATACCCACGCAGCTTTCATACTGCGAGCACAACCGGTAGCAGGATATACATATCTCAAGTCAACGGAGTTCGCGAGAACGTGAGAACACGTACGTAAACGCCAGAAAACACAGGGACAAGAAAGTAGACAGACAAGGACGCTGACAAAGGCTGACAAGGGCGTAGACAGACAAGAGGCGAATCGGCGAGGACGCTGGTTTGTCTCTTTAACTCCGGACACATTTTAAATTTCCTTTCTTGGGAAGAAACTTTTCCTAAGTTCAGAAGCACGTTCTCCGAACGAACCGCCGATGAACTCTCATCGCAGCACCCAGAGAAACTGATGCCACAAAATCAACCCCGAGGGTTTTCCTGGACTCGATTTAGCGCAATAATCACTGCCCCCTGGAAAATGTGTCCTACAGCGATGATACTACGAGCCATGTCTGAATACCTTCCGTTGTGTTACTGCCTACAACTTGCACCTTTAAACTTTGCAATCCCAGTCATAAGTTACTTCACTTGAGTAGAACACTGTCTGATTCGTGTCTCTTTCTCGAATAACAGTTCTTACACATTGGTTTTACAAAAGCTGTCTTCAGACACGTTCAAAACATGAATCAAACATGTTTGAGGCATATCCGCACATAATTCTGTCGTGATGCCTGCAGCGACACCGTGTCTTTCGTAGGATGCACGAGACGTGTGACCGCGGCTATGCCCCGGAAGGCCTCACCTTGTACGTCGGGTTGTCGTAGGCTGACTCCGACGGGTTCCTGGTGATCGGGGCCTTGGCGGTGGACTGCCTTCTGAGCAGCAGGACCAGAACCACGGCGAAGGCGAGGCCGGCGACGGCAGCCACAATAGCTACCACGATGAGGGCGATGTAGTATGCCTCGGCAGTGCTGCCGTCCTGGTGCACGCTGTGCAGGGCGACTGCTTTGCTGTCTGCAGTGTTCCGGAGAAGAAAACAAAATCCTATTAGTGGCAAAGCTTTACGGCATTGATGAAATATATTATGGGAATCAAGGTCTGATATTTTAGGTGCGTCGTGAATAGTCTTTTGCAAGCCAAGTTCTGCAGCTTAAGTTTAATTTTTCCAGGGCATACTCGTTGCCTTCCACCATGTGGCTGCGCGTGTGCTGAAATGTTATCGAAGATGGAAAGCTCGCGGTGAAGGCAGAGCTTCCGCTGCAGATTTCATGTTGTAACAGACCATAGACCGTTCCGAAAAAGAGCTTCTGGCGGGCGCCATATTAAGAGCGCGTGCGTACATTGCTTCTTCACCCAAGCCACAACACACCCGAGCTAAGCTGTGGATTGCTAAACACTGAAAATGGTTCTAGTCCTAGGTGAGATGAGAACGACAGGGCATCTATTTCCAAAGCCGGCCTCCAGAAGACGCAGGTTGCCTTCTGTACTGCTTGGACTACGCGTGCACTCTTGAGGCTCACGAGACGCTGAAGCTTTATGGAAGGTACGAAACTCGCGCTGTAAGCGAGACAACTGAGGCACTTTTCTGTTCTTCCAATGTTGTCAGTGAATATAGACGATTGCAAGTGGGGCGACAGGCTGCCGCCATGTCTTCGCCAGTGCAGACGAGTCTGTGCAAATGCAAGCTTGCCAAAGCTACGCTCAAGCGCACGCTTCACGGGAACCAGTCGCGCCGCCATGAACCCTGTTTAGAGATTTCCCTTTTAGAACTCAAGCAGGAAAAGACCGTGCTTCTGCTTTATGTTAACAGAGAGTTCCCATGGTCGCATGTGCACTTGCTCGCCTGTTTTCTTTATCTTGAAAGTGATTCCTTTTGTCTTTTTTTGCCACTCGATCTAGATTCTAGGAGATATATACTTTGCCTAGCGACTGGCACAGCTATCGTGCCGTCCGTGGTGGCTGAATGGGTATTCTCATACGCTCACCTCGCTACCTCACCTAAACGCGGTCTGTGTTTCTGCCGCGAGCGTCACGAGGCCTCAAGCGGACAACTAATCTAGGAATTTCCGGCGACAGCGTTTCACCGCTCCGCCGCCCTGGCCCAGATCTAGAACACACAGCTCTGTTCCATTTCCTGCAAGGAATGGGTTCATCCACCCGGCCCAACGCAGCGCCAGACTAAGGATTAACGAGCCCTGGTCTCAATAATCATCTAACCTAACCTGGGCCGGTTCATCTAAAAGCATCACTCCCTTTCCCCTAAACCCCACTTCCCTACCCCTTCAGCCCTGATGCCTTTGGGAAAGAGGGTTGGTCGCATCGGCTGTGCAAAGCAGACATATTTGCAAGCAATCAATCATATATGTTCATCCTTCTAGAATTCAACTGAAGGCTCGTTCACACTGTTGCGACCGAGTAAGACTGAGAGAGACCAGACCGGTTTGTAAGCCTTTTGCGACTTCTTAGGACCGGATGTGATGCAGCGGAGCCGGTCCTAAGAGATCGCAAGACGTTTAAAAACCGGTCTGGTCTCACTCGGTCTTACTCGGTCGCAAGAGTGTGAACGAGCCTTGACGTTCAAGAAAGCACCCGCACCTTCTATTTCATTCGACTCCGTCGTAGTGGTAGTGGTGGTTGACGTCGTCGTGGTCGTGGGTGGAGGGCCAGGCTTGGTGTGGAACTCGAGGATGTTAGAAGAAGCTGTCTTGCCGTTGGTCAGATAGGCGTCCACCCAGGCTTTGTACCTAAAGCAGTGGGAAAATAACATATCATTTCCGTGTCTTGTGAGGGAGGAGGCCACTTTAGTGACCACTTCAAGGAAATTCTCGATATTAACAGATATTCCTTTCATTTGCCCTAAGTTTGGCGTGCTGCTAGTGTAGCTTGCATGTTGGCCTTCATCAGTAGTTCAGGTGATAAAAGGTGTATGCGGTACACTCTCAGAAAAAAAGGTGTATTATTACACCCCTTGTCCCATATAATACACCCCAAAACTTCAATTAGACGTACAGCGCCCCATAATCGAACAGGCGGCCCCAAACTTTACGAGGGGCTTGATAGCCGTGTGGTACAACTCATTAAGATAGCTGATGTACGTATTATTGACTACAAAAAAAATTATCGGAGTTTTCTTGGCCGTACTGCAAAAGCTCTGTATTTTCTTTCTTTTGCCTTTGATACGTATTTTAGCAATTTAATAAGTTATATCGCACCGTTATCAAGCTCCTGGTAAAATTTGGTGCCATCTGTTCGACTATAGGGCGCTCTACGTCGAAATGAAGTTTTGGGGTGTATTATGTGGGACAAAAGGGTGTAAGGTGATACCCTTTTTTTTTAGAGTGTAGACACTCGCTTCCCGACTTCCATGGTGGTCTTTATTTGTTTGAGTTTGCTTCTGAATGATATTTACATCATGATGTTTAATCATGATGTTTAAAGCTTGGGACTTGGAAGGAAACTCGAACATATGTTAGAAGAACAGAAAAAAGATGACTGACGAGCGTCTTCATCGAGACGCTTGTCTGTCACCGTTGTCTCTTCTAATATATGTTCAAGTTTCCTTCCCAGTTTTAGGGTTTAAACATCATGATTAATACGCATCAGCTTGCCTGTACGCTGACGATTTTTTGACATATACATCTTTTTTCATAAAAAAGATACTTGCAATGCCATGATGTAAGTATACTTTCAAACTAAGCGCGCCCCATTTCAGGGCAACCTTGCAATGCCGTGATGTGCTTCGACTTCTGGGAATATTTATTTTAACTGCTCTGTGCTTTCTTGCATACTTAAGGCCTGGCTTTTACTGAAGATCTCTTGAAGAAAACCCCTTTAAAAGTGCCCCGAGGAGGTTTCTGAGGTTGCTTAAAGATGGCCATAACTCGCTCTGCGGCATGTAATTTTTCGCGGAGAGGGAACATCACACTCCAATAATCGTCTCAGAAATAACAAACTACGTTTAGTTTTTGTTTTTTTGTTCTTTTTTTTCCGTGATTGATGTTATTGGTTGTCAGCTCTCGAGCACTCGAGCGCTTGCTTGCAGGGCTGAGTCGCACTCCGGGCTGTATGGGCATCGAGCCCCACGCATTCGAAACATCACTCAGCGGTTCCACCGTTCGAGGCACGAGGATCCTTCGTTTGCTATTGACTGAGAGTGCTCCTGGTTGCCCCAGATGCTCCCCTCCCATCGCCGGAGATTAAATCGTTGCGTTGGTCTCTTTGATGGTTTTTCTTAATGGGAAAATTGGCCTCGTATCGTCATGATTTAGGGATTTATAGGATGCTTCGAGTCAGCAGAGTGAGTTATCGCCATATTTAGGCAATCTCAAAATCCTCCTCAGGGCACCTTTATACTAAACCTTTTGACGCATTTGCTTTCCCATGGGATCTCATTTTTGACTACCTAACACATGTAGCACCGCTACTGCTAATCAGAACGACGATTGAAAAATTAAGTAGGTTTATTTTAACCCAATCACCATGGCTATCAAGAAACGGTGAAGTAAGAAAGCCCAAATGTAAAGGGAACCGCTTTAAAAGCTTCTTCATCCTAGTTCACTGCGGTGCCAAATTTGGGTCGCGTTAGAGAAAACAAATAATGAACCTTTGTCCGGGTTTGAGGTCCTCAAGCTGCACTTTGGGTTCCTTGAGTACCACGAAGTTTTGCATATGTTCCGCTGCGGCGTCGCTCTTGTACATCACGTTGAAGACGTGCACATACTTGCTGATGGGTTCTGGAATGCCCTCAAGAACCAGGACCGCCGAATAGGACTCCGTCCTCTTCACGTTGAGGAGCATGTCGAAGTGATATTCGTCTGCAAGAACAAAACAACATCGTTCCGGTCGTTAAGCTCTGGTGGACTGTCATCAATATCATTTTTAAAAGATTACCTCGAAACTGTTCTAGTGGTGTGAATAAAATTACCACAAAAACTGTGAAGCAGTAATTAACGCTTTTTCTTTTTAACTTGTTGAGAACAAGTAATAAGGTTGTAACAAGGTCAACATAACTTTAAGCTAGGGAATCATCTGGCTATATACAAAGGTACTGGCTCATTACCTTAAGCGCCTTGTATAAGCTGCCTCACACACTCGTGCTCCGTCGTTAACTACTAAGCAAAGCGGTTTTGGAATGTTTATTTTTTTCTCGTAAAGGTGTTAGCATTTGCTGTAAAATATTTTAATCGCAACTGACATCGGAATACACTACCTTAAAAAAAAAAAGAGGAATCGAATTGATCATTTCAGTGACACAAGCAGAGCATGACACACCTCTTGGCATTGGAGCGGTCTTCATTTCAACATGTTGGGCTGACTCAATGCGTGTCGAGAGCCCTTCAGGCACCGAGAACTGCATGTCTATGAGGTACGACGAACTTGGCTCCAGGTCCTGAATGAGGAACGAGGTGCGGTCTCTGGAAAGATGCAAAACCCTTTGTCAACACCCGCCGTTAAATACAAGACCACACTATAACACGTCATAATGGTCGCGTGATGCCGTTATGAATCGTCTTCTGCCAGGAAAAAAACCGGTTCCCAGTTTTTTCTTTACATTCCCTCTTGCACTCTGGTTGTTCCACAGTAGCAGGTTTGCGAAAAACCCCCGCAGAAAGAAGGAGGGTCTCCCTCTTTTGGAGTGAAAGGAAGGAACCGAAGGAAAGTTTCCTTCTCTCTGACTGCTCGTCAGCCTTTGAAGGCTGATGATCAGACTCGAGATTCTGTAAGGCAGAAGATCCTCCTCACCGTGGGGAAAAGGAAACAAGGCAACGGTAGACAGGGTAGAAGGGGGGAGAGGAGAAAGCGGGGGAAAAGTGAAAAGCCAGAACTGGTCGTCGGCCTTTAAGGCAGTGTCATGATAATCAGGTGACCAGAGTTTAAAAAGAAGGCACACAAGAACTCCGCGAAGAAAAATTTAAACCAGATCTTATTCATTACCATATGCAAAAAGCTTCAACAAAACCACTTCTGGCTACGCCGATCGAAGGCAAGGTTTTTACCTGTGGATCATTGGTGTCGTCTTCCACGGGATGTTTTCCTGTCCGGCCAGTTTGTAGCGTATTTGAAGACCGTCCACGTATTTCTTCTCCCGTGCATCCAGGGGCCTCCAGGAGACCTTCGCAGTGTGCGGGTCCACACTGTTCACCGCCATCATCATGTCCAGGAGCAGAAGTGGTGGCACAGTTGTCGTCGTGGTTGGTTCTGAAAAAAGGTAGAACAGTTCAAACACCAGTATAGGATTGTTATTTCTTAATTAGGCTAGAGCTGTTAAAACTACACATTAAAATGTAGTTAATAAAGGACATTTATTCCACGCAGAAAAAAGTTGCACACACTGTAAATTAAACCTCTTCAGAAAAGTTTTTTGTGCATACACATATTTAGTAGAACCGATAAGCCTAAAAGACTAGTGCGAATCTTGGTGCATTACAGAGGACAATATGAGCTGAAACAACCCTCTATGCTTCTTTGTCTTACCGGCCAGTTTTTAAAGACGCATTGGTCTGGAAATGCGGCAAACCTTAGGTCTCAATCCTTTAACTCTAACAATTTCAGGCGTAATAGAGCTTGAGACAACAGTAAGCATAGCAAGAGTCGAGATCAAGTGTTTCAGCTCATATTGTCTGAGTTGTATTAACCATACATACCTTATAAATAAGCTAAATTTATTAGTGAAACATTTGGGTTATCATTTTTATTAGAGGGTTTCTTTTCGGGTTCTACTACCGGCTTCGGTCGATTCAAGTATTAATTAGACGGCCAGGTTTATGTTATGAATGAGTTTATCAATTGAGTCCTGAAGTATTTTTTCACACTTAAGTGAAGCATAAATCATTTCTACTCGAACACACATAATAAGATAAAAATTTCGGAGGATAGTATTCCGAGTCATCCTAGATTCTTAAAAAAAAAAAAATAAATAAATAAACGTCACAACGAGCGAACAAGAAAACGTCCCTTGAAAAGAAAAACAGCTGTAAAACTTGCGAAGAATTTTTCTTTTCTTCTAAAAGAAGCTTCCACACGAAAAATTGTTCGTGAGTGGGAATCGCTGTGACTGCTTATTATCTTATTGAGAACGTACTTCACAAATCCTCATTTCCTTCGAACCTTTTTTTTTTGTCAACTATTTTAATAAAAATATTTTGGAGGGTATATGATTAGTGTTATAGAAAGAGAAAAGAAGGCTGAACGACGTACTTCGCTGACCCTCACCTGGCGGCATCGTCAGTTTGAAGACCTGGCTCTCGGGGCCGGACTGCAGGGCGTCGATGATGATCTGAATCTGGAAGAAGTACGTCGTGTCCGGCTGCAGCCCGGAGAGGTAGTACTCGATGTTGGCGGTGTCGAAGAGCCGCTTCGGCCTCGCAAACTTCTGGGTGCTCCAGGACTCGCGCGGCTGCATCGGGTCCGTGGTGTAGTGGAGCTCGGCGTGGCCCACAAGGCCGATCAACACGCTGGCCAGAGTGAAGCGCACGCGAATCGTCGTCGTATTCACGGCTACCACACTGACGTTTTGTAGCTCTTTGCCTGAAAGAAATCAAGAACACTCGATCAGTGTCAATGTCAAAATAAAACGCTCGCATTATTAACGGAATAATCTAGACTAGCTTTGGTCCTTCGATACGTCGTGCTATACTCGCGGACAAACTTTCTGTGGCTATGCAGTCAAAGGTATGGGGGTGTTGGATGGACGCCGATCACAGCATTGCACAAACACTCCTCCTCTCGTCGAAAACGCCGCAAAAATTTGTCCACGGGTGCAGAGTACTCATGGAATAACAGTTCCCGAATGCGGCGCTCTCGGAGGCACTGAAGGTTCCACATTGTAACGAAACGTACTAATGTGGTACCCGAGACACCACAAAGTGCCCGAATATATCCCAGCATGCCACAGAACAAGAGGTGGCACTGGATGTGACCCAACGTGACAGAAGGTGATAACAAAATACCCAGGAGAAACCAGAAAAAAAAATTTTTGATTTTACTTGCAAAACTAGCAAAAGGGGCATTTGGCACGTCCCAGCGGAGGACTGCGGATTAATTTGGACCCCCTGGGGTCTTTTGAGGAGCAACCAAAAGATCGATTACACGGTGCCTCTTCCGCAATAAGACTAAGTCAGATTGCTAGCACCTTGACCGGGATTTGAACCCGCAACCTGGAGATCCGTAGGCCCCAGGGGGACGCCAGAAGGTGTCCTTGAGAACTTCCGTAGCACGAGTCAATCACCGCGGTCGGTCGCTAGTTTCAGAAAGCCCTGTAGGGTTACCTGACTGGGTGTGGCTACAGACAATGTAGGGGCACACGCCAGGGTCGTTGGGGGTGACCAGCACGGGTCGGGGACACTGCGGGTTCGGCTTTTGGAAGCGGTCCGGGATCGGGGGGCAGCCGCCCGTACACTGGGCCTCGGCCTCGCCCCCCGTCCGAAGTAGCTTGCATGTGCACTGGCGCCTCTGCGGGCCCTTGACCACCTCCCACTGCTCGTGGAGCTTGTAGCGCTTCCCTTGGAACACGCAGTGCACTGCCGCCGGGAGAGGGTCAAGAGGCAACAACGGAGGACGCGTTTAGGTCGTGCACCTTTAGGCTGACAGGTGGAGGGCGCAGGTGGTGGAAGACGTGCTGTCCTTAGCGGCCGCATCCACTTGGGACAGGGCTGCGATTGGCGGCTGCCTACCTCGGTTCTTTCCGGCCATGAACACGCATGTTTTATCAGGACTTGTATATTGTATCTCGATCCTTTTCTTACATGGGCTTGAGTGTTTTATTAAGTTTATACTATGATACCACTAAGCAAGCGAGCGATCGTACCCATGAATAAGATATGCTCTCAGTCGCTCAGTCCTATACGGTTTTGCATACTGCTTTAGCACGCTCGCTGTGTGCCAACGTTGTGGCAGTGAAGTTGAGTTGGTTTTGTTTGTGGGCACTTTATTTCAGCTTTATAGCCGGCCATACTTCGAAATATTGGTTGATTGTATTCAAAGCTACCCGCAGTCGGTCTATTTATGGGTTTACGTTTGGCCCTTCTTCGGAATTTATGTGTATCTTGTATGGAACTCAAACGTACTCCATCACTGGTATATTTGCTGTAGACAGCAAGTGACGCAGTATTGTAGAGTGAAACTTTTTTTTTCTATAGCGCCAGTGCCAATAGCAATGAGGAAGCGTCAGAATGGCTCTTAACATTGCTTGCTTCAAGTGTGTGTTTGCGGTGCATCACTGCGCCAGGGCCTTTGTTAGGCAAATTAATGACGATGTGCTTTGTACTAATTTTTAAAAAAATCTGGAAGTTTTTCTTCTTGCTCAAGGAATGATGGTAACATTTTATTTGTACTTTCTTGTACGAAGCTCAAATCTCAATTGAACTAAAAATACATGAAGCAAAACTATGCAGTGTACCTGGTTAGAAAACATTATAATCGAAACCCTGACACACTGAAAAAATAAAATAACATTGTTTTTTTTTAATTTTCTCCCTGTCTCCCCCCCAGGGCTTAAATTATAATAAAAATATTTTTTTGTTTGCAAGGCAATTATTTTATGCCCATATTAAATAGCCGAATAACGAGATGACATCTTAAGATTCAACTATGGTTCATAGGCGCTTTAAAAATAAAAAATAAAAGAAGCGCCACTCCGCTAAAGGAAACTGGTATAAGTGCAATTCAGTCAAAAGCTATGTCGTTTAGCACGAAACCTAAGTGAATCATCGAAAACTTGGCAATGAAGCCGGTTCATCTGCAAAGTTTTTCATGTCCTTTACGGGCTCTCAAAAAAAGCTTTATCGATGCTTTCAAAGATCCTAAATCGAACATTCATGACAATTTCATACAAAATCCGCAATTCTAATAGAAAAGTGTATCCCGCTTTTTGAACTACCAGAAAAAAATTGAACTTTGACAATAAACATAATGCTATCGCTTAGAACATGCTTTATGAAATAGTTGCCAGATTTTTGATCGGAATTAGGCTCGAGTCGAGTGACTTATCCGGCGTAAAAGACTCGCGCGACCAGAAAACAACCACATTATTTTGTGTTGTTCAATTGAGATTGAGCGTAGGCGCCCCGCTATCTTTCACGGCAAAAAATGCTGGCTTTTCCACCTATTCAACATTATGTTTTCAATCTTCCACCACCTGCTATCGGTTTAGTAAAACGGTTTAGTTTAAAAGTGAGCGGTCAACCAAATACTCTAAAACACAGAATAGTTGGTTGATCCGCTTTTTTAAGGTGATCCGCTCACGCGGTATCTTTAGTCAGGTTAGAAAACACTATGTCATGGTTTAAACGCGACCCTAAAATACTCTATCGCGCGCGTTTAATGGTATCTGTTTAAGCGTCACCTTCAATTCGTGCAGTTCGGTTGGACAATGCACCGCCCATCGATTTCCTACCAAATGGATTAAAGTTTTGTTTAACATTCACTCCAGACGTACACACTGAGGTGCTGAGAATTTGTAGGTACCCCTTTTGACCGGGACATTTTTGAGAGGAACCTTTTTGTTCATCATTTTGTCAGGAACCTTTTTGTCTGGGACCATTTTGAACGAGACCACTTTGTGCGGGACCTTTTTGTCTAGGGCAATTTTAGCAGGGACAATTTTGACCAAGGCCATGTTAGCCAGGCCCGTTGTGACCAGGGACAGCTTGACGGACACCTTTTTGACCAGGACCCCTTTGTCCAGGACCGCTTTGTGCAGGGTCATTTTGTATACAGGACCATTTTGTACAAAACCGTTTTAACAGGAACCATTTTGAAAGGAACCATTACCACAGGGACTCTTTTGACAGGGGCAATTCGGCAGGGACCATTTTGTCAGAGACCTTTTTGACAGGGATCCTTTTGGTAGGGACCATTTTGAAAGGGACACTTTCTGTGGAACTATTTCAACAGGGATCATTTTACCAGGGACCCTTTTTAGATTAACCATTTTGACAGGAACCTTTTGGCAGGGACCATTTTGAACGGGATCACTTTCTGTGGGATTATTTTAAATAAAACCATTTTGACCGGACCCTGATTTCAAAGGGGCAGGTTTTGATACTTGCGTGACAAAGTATGACAAAGCATTTTACGTTATCAATGAATTCATTCGACTTGCAAAGCTTGGAGACGGAGCTCTCTTGTATATGCAGCTTTACTAAAAATGATTTTGTATGTGCTCCGCTAGTAAAATGAACGATATAAATATATTTTTCTTTTCACTTCGGGTTTAGAAAGATAGCGGACGAAATTTTGGCTTCGATCAAGTGTACGCTCGCACAGTGTAAAGCGTTCTTAAAGCCAACTCGCTTGTACTTGTCTCAAGGTTTAACCCACTCACCCTCCAACTGTGAACATAAAAAAAAAACAATATATCTTATAAAAAATGTGAATGTATTTTTTCTCTAATAAAACAATTCAAGAATGCTTTAGATACATCACATGAAGAAAACTCCGAAGTTAGCATACGAGTTAACTTTGGAATAAGTATGACCAGTGGCAAAAATAAAATCCCAAAATCAGTAAAACGTGCACTTAGCTATAGTCCGTGAAAGGTTAAAAGCTCAGGGGAAACTCCTGTCACCTCTTTCCCCTTTAGCAGGGCGAACTCTGGAGAAGAGGTCGGGTCCTCTCCAGCGTTCACTCTGTTAAAGGGGAAAAGGGTGGAAAGAGCTTCCCCTCAACTTTTAACCAGTCACTAAATATGGTTTGTTCATAAAAGCACTCAAAAGGAGTTGTTGTAAAGCTATTTTGATCATCCGACATCAAAGTCCACCAGGCAGCGACGCGTGCAATTGCGCAAATTTTCCTAACTCAGAATATTTTTTTCCTTCGAGCTTATTTTTTCTGGGTAAAACTAATTCTTCATAAAGATATCACAAATGAAAAAAACATTATGTGAAATAAAACAATGAAACACCCACGCATGATTGATCTTATTTGAAATCACCCAAGTATCTTTTCTAGTTTTCTTTTGCCTCGGAAAAGTGCCACAGTTTACCGTTTTGCGCCCTTCCCTTCTGCTTCCCTTTCCCTTATTTGCCGCTCCTTCTCCACATGTTGAGTCGCCTAGCGAAGATGCGAAGAGCGTTTCGAGCAACACCGTCAAGATAAGAGGTTTTAGCGTCGTATGTATTTCCGGCGTCGGGGCTCGTTTTGAATTCCCCTTCTCACTGACCGAAGCCCAGTCCTAGCCGAACGTTCACGCGGCAGTCGTGTTCAATGCGGAGCGCATGTTCGTCTGCTTCTTTTGCGGGGGATTGTTGTGACGCCAGAAGGATGCCGAGCTGATTGGCTCGGCATCCTTCTGGCGACAAAAATACAGTAGTTAGTTTAAGCATAACTACAATAAAAAGTATAGGCAAGTAAAAAAGTAGAACTATTGGTACAAACACCTTAAAGTCTAGTGCCTTCCAATCGGCAAATGAAGTGATCTGCTAATTTGACCCGACTCAACTCCTTCAAAACTGAATGTCACGGCCGTCGCACATTGACACACAAAAAAAGAAAAGAAGTAAGGGCGCAGGCCAGCTGGTGTACGTTTACCCTTATGTTAAAGCACCTGGGACTGGGTGTGAAACAACCTTAAAACAACCAAAAGTTGAAGAGACAGGGAAAGAAGTCGGTCACACGATGTCTCAGAGTTAGCTCCGTCGACATCGCCTGACTTTCTTCTTTCCCTGACTCTTCTGCTTTTGGTTGTTTCACGATTTCCTCACACAGTCTCAGGTGTTTTGACAAAATAGTATATGGGTCCTCCTTTCGTTGCACTTATAGCCAGGAGAAGAACATACTAAGCGAATCCCCTGCCTTGCAGTGCACTCTAAAAAAAGGGTATCACCTTACACCTTTTTGTCCCACACTCTCAAGAAACAAGGTTGTAAATGGGTGTATTGTTACACCCTTTGTCCCATATAATACACCCCAAAACTTCATTTCGACGTACTGAGCGCTATAGTCGAACAGACGGCCCCAAAGTTTACGAGGGGCTTGATAACGGTGTGATATAACTTTTTAAATAGCTAAAGTACGTATCAAAGACCACATAAAAAAAATACCGAGTTTTTACAGTAGGGCTAAGGAAACCCCGATTATTTTTTTTTTGTAGTACGTAAAGCATACATTAGCTATTTTAATAAGTTGTACCACACGGCTATCAAGCCCCTCGTAAGATTTTGGGCCGTCTGTTCGACTGTAGGGTGCTGTACATCGAATTGAAGTTTTGGGGTGCATTATATGGGACAAAGGGTGTAACGATACACCCTTTTACACCCTTTTTTCTTGAGAGTGCATATTATGCACCCCAAAACTTTAGTTCGACGTACAACGCCCTATAGTCGAACAGACGGCCCCAAAATCTACGGGGGGCTTGATAACAGTGCGATATAACTTATTACATAGCTAAACTACGTATCAAAGACCACAGAAATAAAACACTGAGGTTTTGCAGTAAAACAAAAAAAAAAGATTTTTTTTTTTTCGATAACACGTGAAATAGCTATATTAGTAAGTTGTACCACACGGCTATCAAGCCTCTCGTGAAAGTTCGTACGGTCAGATCGACGTCAGTGAGCTGCATATTGAACTAAGGTTTTGGGTGTCTTATATGGGAGAAAGGGTGTAAGAATACACCTTTTTTTTTAGAGTGTAGATTCCAAGTTGCCCATCGGCCTTCAACCTATTTTCTGAAGGTTATACACACCTAAAATACGCGCATGCCGCAATTTACTTGTTGCTTACTTTTCTACATCTCAGTAAGCAACAAATATTCAGAACTTGTAGCTCCAAGTCATGCATGGTCAATTAATTTGTGCTGAATGTCGTAGTGAGTGAAAAAGTATACGAACCTCTAAAATGTGACTAAAATAAATTCCAATATTAGTTTTTCATTACTAAAAGCGTTACCCGTTTATTATGATTCAAAACAAATCTCGTGAAGGCTCGATGCAGCCCAAAAATACATCTTCTTTACTCTTTTAGCGTTCAAACCTAAGCAACAGACACTTTTTTTCTCTTCTTTTCTTTTTTTTTTCGCAAGCAACTTACAATATTGAATGCCACACAATCACCAGAAGGATTACGGCTGCACGTGGAAAAATCAAAAACTATTAAAAAAACGTGATTAAAAAAATCCCGAATAAAGAAAAAAATAAAAGCTTTACCGGCAGAGATTGAGCTCACTCTATCACATAATAAAATATTTATAAGAAACATAAAAGCGAGTGAGGACACCTAAGCCGTGTCAACGAAATAATGACAACGTCGCAACTGACAGGCCCGTTTCGTCATGCTAGAAGTTGAAAAGACACTTAGCCCAACTTTTTTAAGCGCACAAGTCAAATCATAAATAGTCCCCGAAACATAATTTAGACTCAATAGTTAGGCCGCGATCGAGATCCATCTTGAGTATCGCGAGGTGCTTCTATTTCTTCAGTCTACATCGGCCCGACGTGACGAAATATAATTATGTCGCTTCTCACTGAAAAAGAGCCTCACGACTTATTTTATTTATAGTGCTAAACATTTTCTCTTGAAAAAAAAAAAAAAGTGATTTTGCGACAAATGTTTGCAATCCAAACACTGATGTCGTTTTTTCTGTTATTTTTTTTTTTTTTTAGTGAGTTTAGTGTTTTTAGAAGCGACTGCGAAACATACCACTATTTCGGGTCGACGTAAAAAAATTTCAGAGTAGCTTCTGGCTCGAAATATGACTCGCAACGTACATAATAAGTAATCTTTTCCTCTTTTATTTTTTTTTTTGGGGGGGGGGGGGGGGGGGGGCAGTGAATGTTGTGGCGTGTATTCATGCATTCATTCATGTGTACATGCATTCACGCATGTATGCATGCATGCATGGTGTGGCGTGTGCATATAGACACTTAACATTTAACAATAACAAAATTCGGGGAGGGTTTTGTGTTCCTTTAAGCCGTGGCCACACCGCTCAGACATCGTACAAAAGACAGTTTGCATAAGACACTGTCTGCGGCGTGTCTCTTCCTTGGACGACGGTCCCATTGGTCGTACAAAAACTGTCTGCAGACAAGTTCGAAGTGTGCATACGTAGTACGAAGCAACCGTGCTTCGAAAGTGCTTGGGGCGTGTGCGCAGATTATTTCTGCATCGTGCCTGCACCGAACACCGCGTCTTTTGAATGATGTATAAACAGTATGACTGCGACTTTAAGGTAAGTGGGATATGCTTTCGAAGTAGAGCACCAGGACAGCCTGCCTTTTGCGTGCAGCTTCAACCGCGAAACCAAAATCTCACATTCGTCCATTGCCAAGTTATGCAGAGAGCAAGTCGTCTGCTTCTGGCGCAGGAGTGGCGGTGACGTCAGAACAACGCCGACCTCTGATTGGCTTTGAGTGAATGCCATAAGGTCTACCCACTATTTGTTTTTCAATCAGCAAATAAGAGCTTGGCGTTCTGACGTCATCGCATCCCCTGTGTAAGAAGAAGACGATCTTGCACTCCGCATAACCAGATCGCCTTGTATACACGTTTGCAAGTCCGGCTTCAGGGCGCTGCCATCTTGCTTGACTGGGGTGCACTTGGCCGAGTCATAATCCGATTACGAAGCCTTGCTAAGGCGTCGTAATCAGATTATGGCCGCGCCCAAGAGCCCACCCCACTGAGGAAGATGGCGGATCCTTGAGACTGGACTTGCAAACGTGTATACACCCGCACGCTGTTGACTACCAATCCCGCCTTTGCCCGCACCAGGTCTGGGCACCGCGCATGCGCGTAAACCAGATTCCCCTTGAGGTGAAGCAACTGCGCAGGCGCTGTGTAGACAGCAGCGCTACACAGGCATGGACACCAAAGAGAAGGAGAGAGAGATAAACAGAGAGAAAAAAAAAAGAGAGAGAGAGGGGTAAACATCCTCGCGCAACTCACCGGGCTTCTCTGGTTCGCGGCACATCCAGTGGGTGCAGCACTCGTCTCCGGGCAGGTGCCCCCTGTACGCCTGGGAAGGGTGGCAGGGCAGGGTGGGCGGAGGGGAGCTGTTCAGCGGGGGACACCGGTTCTCGCAGGAGACGTTGCCGTTCACACAGACGCAACGCTTGCCGCAGTCGAGCATGTCCTGCGGAATCTGCTGGAAGTTGCGGAACTTGAGTCCGTTGAACAGACACGAGCCGTCTGAAACGAGAACGAAAATAAAAAGGGACGTGAGCACGAACATCTAATTTAAGAGTGAACATTTTGGCGGACTTCCGCCCTGGTTGGGTAAACATTAAACTGATAAAAGGAACTCTAACCAGGTTTTATTAAAACGAAGGTCCCGACATTTCGGGGCCAACTCGGCCCCTTGATTACGGATGACTGATTGCTGAGCTCTGGCAGACCGCTTGCCCAAGCATTTTATTAAAATCTCCGTTTTAATATAACGTAGTTATAGTTCTTTTTATCAGTTAAACACATCATTTAAAATAAATTAGTATTTTTTTCTTCGCACAGCATTTAACCTTAGAATAGAAACTCTACGTACATAAAAGTATTTTGCTAAAAAAGAACGCTCAAATAACTCAATTTATTCCTCGGAAATAAATCTTTGAACACTCATAGTGGTCGCATTGGACCTACCCTTACAAAAATATGTATGGGCACTCCTCGGACGTTCTATAGAGCAGCGTCCATAGGCAGAACATAAGGCATCTATAGGCAGACCACGACTGCTGTTGCCTTCGGGAAGTCGTCCCATGGCTGCCCTATAGAATATTGGCCAACGGACGCTCTATGGACGTCCTATCCTATTGACGATGTAAGGTCATTCTATAGTAAGACACCATACAAAGTCCTTACGAACTCCATAGGGCGTCTACACAGGATCTATACAGTGTCTATAGGGTGCCTGCAAAGAACCCATATGAGGTCTATAGGGAGTCCCTATGGGGTTCACAGGGAAGCCATACAGGGTCTACACATGGTCCTCATGGGGTCTGCAAAGAAGCTATACAGGGTCTGCACCGAATCGCTATGGGGGCCGTAGAGAGGCCACTTAGTCTGGGGGTATATCTACGGGGGCCGTAGAGACCCGCATGCACCTGCCTCCCACTGAGAAAGTAAAGGAATTATTCCGGTACATACTGAACACTTCCATCTCCAGATTGAAGGTCCAACCTCCTGAGGTTGGACAGGCCTTCAGACATTCATGTAACATATTGATGCCCGGCGCTGAATTAACAACTCTAACTCGGACACCTCCCTACACTTAAAGAAAACACCTACCCGGCATCCCTTTATTAATCTACCAATATATAGCTCACACCATAGAGATACAAGAGGATGTCCATAGACTCACCAGGACCATAGCATGGAAATAGGAAGGAATGAAAAACTTTTTGTTTTGCGAAGATCCCTATTCGCGTCTCCAGCTCGGCGCTCGCCCTCCCGCGGCGGAAACGGGAAGCGCTCTAGTGAGGGTCCCCCGATTCTCCTGCTCAGCGGGCACGGCGGAACTGCTCGTGATCATGGCTCGCGAAACGTCGTTTCGGAATGCAAACAACACTCTTCATTGTCCCAACGTAGTGCTGCAGCCGGTATGGGATTGTACCTTACTGGAGAGTTTTAGTATTGCGCATAGAAGCAAACGCAAGCGGTGTACGTTTGGGTTAGAGTTGCGTGCCCCACGTTGTGCGTGCGCTTCATCGCCATGCGCCATCCAAGACCGCAATTTCGGGCTCCGCGCACGCGCAGTGTAGAACACGCAAAGCTAAGACAAACACACAGGGCTTGAGTCCGCTCGTATACGCAATATTAAAACTCACTACTGTTTCACCGGCTTCCAACGCCAACGGAACGTGCTGCAATGAGCAGACGTGCAAGCGGGTAGGCGTTCCTTCGAACTGGAGAGGTTGAGATCGGCAAAACGACGGCGAGCAAATACAAAAGTAAATAAATGTTATAAAAAAATTAATAATTAAAAAAACCTTTTTTTTTTTTTTTACTTTTGGGCATTTGGTTTGGAAGTATATTGGCGGCGACTCTGGACGTTTCGCCGATTGTCAAAAGTCTCGACTTTGATAGCACAATATACTTTATCCACAATTAATGTAATTTTGCATGAATTTCTCACATTAGCTAAAATGTTTTCATTGATTTTAGACTATCTTTTATTTTATTGGCAATTAAAATGCAGCAATTGGAACCAGTGATGATAAATAGCACAGTTTTCATTGTCATATTTCTTCGCGCGTTTAAAATTAGATCGTAAGCAACAAATTATATTAGAGCTTGAAGAATTACTTATTCAAATATGTGAATTTTTATATTAATATTATTAATACGAATCGCGGCAATGTATGCCTCCAATTAACGCCAAGATCACGAGAATACACTATTTAACCATAACAGTCTTTCCAGAAAGGTATAATTCTGTTTTCTTTTCAGCATATGAAAAACTCTGACATAGTTATCAAGATCGACAAACAGTCAAACACGGTATGTGATATGAAGTTCTACGTGTCACACGGTGCTATAAAAACACACACTTCAGCTGTCCGATTCGGATTCTTTCTTCGGGTTGTTGCAGTGAGAGCAGCGTTTATCAGTTTATGCGTTTCGTGGACATTTTGTAAAAATTAGAATTATTCTCTTATTCTTGTGCTGGGATAATTGTCATTATTTCCTATGTCGATTATGTGAGCGAGAAAAAGGCAGCGAGAACGCACAGCTATCAGCACTGATTTTTTCAACAACTACAAATATCAGCCTGGATCGAACAGTATGTCACAAAATAAAGTTTCCGCGAACAACTTTTCTAAGTAAATAATTACGATGTGAGACGCATCTTGAGTTATGAAAGAATTCGAAATTAAGACCTATATCGAGAAATTAAATTCAAAATAGAGTAAGTTTCGGTTTCGCTCCAGAATTAAAACGCGCATCCTTCCGTAAATAATACGCTAAACACCGTTCTTTTTTTTCAGGTTAAAGAGGTGGACTGCGCTCATAAAATATTAGCTTCCTCGTATTACCAGAAATGATTTGTCGCTCAGTGAAGCCAGCGCACTAGACAGGCTCAACTTCGGCACGCATCTCTGACCCTCACTAAACCCGCCATCTTGGAAAATGAGTGGCGCCACCTATAGTTAGTTGGAGTCGCGAATAGCGTTGCTGTGGCCGTTCTATGGCGAACCAGCGGTACATAAATGGTCCAAGAACTGTCTAAAGGAATCCATAGAATGGACAAAGGGGTAATAGAACGGCAAAAGTATGGACATAGGACGTCCATACCTATTTTTGTAAAGGTATGGAAGCATAAAGAAGCTACGACACTTTGCAAAACCTTGGCAGCCTATCCGACGCTTCCAGGAGACTTCTTTAAAAGTTCTCCCCGCCAGATCTAATTCTAACAGCGTCATAAATCTATCTCTCACGATCGGTAGACTAGGATACCAAACCAACCATCGAGGTTTATACCTAAGCCCATCGTTGTGTATCTTTATCTTTCGGAGTCGTTAGGCCATTGTGGTTTGCCTTAAGATGCAAGGTCGTTAACCAGGGGCATAGTAACATGGTAAGCAGTCCGATTATCCAGTGTGATGTAGCTAGGACGCTCTCACCTTTTTTGCACTTGGAGGGCGGGCAGCAGTTGGGCGGCGACGGCTGGAAGGCGGGGTCCACGTCCCACTCGAGGCACTCGCTGAAGTGGTGGTTGAAGTGGTGCGGACACTCGATGATGGCGCAGTTGACGCGGAGGTTGCTGCCGCAGTGGCACACTTCCAGGCAGCCGTTGTAGAACTCTTCGTTGACGGTGTAGAAGCGTCCGTTGTACTTGCACATGGCCGGACCCGGTGCCGGCGCCGGTGCCACCGCCGTGCTGGGAGGCGCAGCTGAAAGAAGATTCTTCACGTTATCTGCGCTGACCGTGCACTTCTGGGCGCAGTGGATTAACCTCCGGTTACATATAAAACATACAAATGTCGTCGCAAAATTTTATAAGTTCATTTATTGCGAAAGAAACCTCGAATTTATAAGCGAGTGACTTCCCAGCACGTCAAGACACATCGCCGTGAGGTGAGGTATTATGTTGGCGGAAAAGCGCCGCGGGGCATCCGCTCTGCGTCCGGCAGATAGCAACTTGACACCCTGTCACACGTTTTTGAATTCCGGCTTAATACAATTATCTTCATTCCAGGAATTGCTATCGAGTGTGTACATGCCACGCTTTAAGCCAGTCGCTATACAAACCGACACAGAGCGCCGAGAGCGTAGACGCCACACGCTTCACGTACAACCATAGCCTCCTCCACACAGGCAAAGCCTGGCAGATCGCCCCGAGAAGCGGCCGCCAAAATTGAAAGGTAGAGTGGCAGACAACGGACGAGAGGAGAGCCACGTGACGGGTGTCCCGCTGCGGCGAGACGCCCAAACACACCTCTCCCGAGCGATGGAATGTCCGCTCGTGCTCCTCGCGTTCCTCGCGCTACCGATTCCTTTCTTGTTGGGTTTGAAAACCATGTTTCGGGTCCTCGCCGCTGCAAAAGCTGTGCGCTGACGCCCAGGTTCCCCGAGAAATGCTCTCTGCTACCAGTTCCTCGCGCTCCAAATCTGCTACTAGGCACTCTATGGCTCCATCGTCAAACTGCTAGGCTTTGTGAGTATAGAGGAGGCTAAGGTACAACACAATTGCCCAGCAATTTGCTACGCATTTTTGGAGGCGTTTGGTATTAAATTCGCAAAATAAATGACGATAAGCGGTGGTTATATTATTTAACCGAGCACTATTACTATCGGTGTTGACTCAACAATCGCTTGCCAACAAAGTGCGAGTAACGACACAAGTAGAGCAGCCGCTAAAATGACGCTCATTCACACAATAGCCGCGATGATATTTCGGCCTTCTTCCGTTAGATAACCACTGTAGGAACCACGCACTCGCCTTGTTTTTTTTTTTGTTTTTTTTTATTGTTTGCGATTTTACGTATACGGCGATATGGTTGGCTGAGATCGAGCAGGCAGAAAATCGGCGCTGGAGGCGGAGCATTTAGTGTATAGTCTTAACCTTGCACCGACGATACATTAGGAAGAAAGAAAGAAAGCCACACACCACTCCTAGCTCCGTTGCACATGACGTAGGGGCAGAGGCAAGGATCGTCGGGGGTCACGACGAGCGGCTGCGGACAGTCCTTGTCGGGAGCGGGCACGATGACGGAGAGCGGCGGGCAGCCGCCGATGCACTCGGAGAGGGCGGACCCGTTGCTGAGCAGCACGCACGTGCACACGCGCCTCGTGCAGCCCTGACCCGTCTCCCAGGTGTCGCCCAGGCGGTGCGGCTTCCCGGCTTCGTCCAGGCACACGTCGTTCTGCGGATCTGCACAAGGGGCAACAGAAGTGAGCAAAGAAACATTAAAAAAAAAAAAAACGAAGCATTCCCGTAGAGTTACGCAATCGTCAACGTAATCAAACCGGAGACACGGAAACAAAAAGGACGTACACGACACCGTCTCTAAGACGGTGTTCTTCACGTAATTTTTTAGGGGCGAAGCTCCTTAGGGTCTAGCCTTGTCTGTCCGGCGTCCGTGCTCACATCGATCTTGCTGGTCCTCGTGCTCGTGCTCGTGAGCTCACGTGCTCACGTGCTCGTGTAGAGCAAAAAAGAAAAATCATGAAAAAAAAATGTTTGCGCAGTCGATAGGATTCAAACCTGTGCGGGGAGACCTCAATGGATTTCTAGTCCATCGCCTTAACCACGGTCAAATGCTCAAATGCGTATATAACAACGTTCCACACCACATATTCTCTTCCTGACATGGATGAAAACGAACGAAAGGCTCGGCATGCTGCGGCTCAGTGTCTACGCAGACAAGCACCGCCAGAGCTTCGCCCCAATCAGCATCATTCACCACGTGGAGACGCGGTCAATTTTGCTTCCGTGTCTCCGGTTTTATCATGTTGTCTAATATTCACCAGCTCAGTGCTGGTGAATATTAGACAAGTAAACGTGCCTCCAGTTTTAGGGACCGTGCTTGATCAACCCTAGCACAGTCAAAACCTGTGCACTAGAATTTTACGTTATTGTTGTGGGATCGAGCGCTATGTCAGCGTTTGATGGGCCTCGTATTCCAGCAAAGCGCCGAAGGTCCTAGTCTGAGGGACTTTCACGGAGGCAAGCGAGGCGTGTTCACGCGCTTTGGCTATTCTAGGTGATGTGTCGAGAATGAACCCGCTGAACATTGCAAGTAAAGTTGCGGTTACAGTGAGTTTACAGTGAGTGGATATCAATGAAAGACACCAGACGTGTTTTGACTGCTGCTAGATTATTTTTCCATAGGAGACATTTTTTGAAACGTGTTTATTACCATCATCGTGTTAAGCCTCTTTATCAACACCAATTGTATGCTGATGTTGCACACCTACGATGGGCTTTGAAGTGCCTGTGTTCTCTCAGCTTGAATGACTAGTGATCAGCGATATTACAGCAAGAGTTGTTTCCATTTAAAGCTGACCTCGCTGTCGAGATGAAGGACGTTCCAATTCAATATACGTCTGCGCAGTTGGTGATAAGAAAATTACATGACCATGAGTGTTATTTGAAAACAAAAAAGGAGACTAAAAAAACATTCGTGATTTATATACGATTCAGTTTACCGCTGTTGGTCCCCGATGCTCATTGATAGGCGAAGGGTGATATCAGCCTTCTTAAAAAAAAAAATCTTTGGAATTATTTACACTAGTGTCGACGAGTGAAGGCCGTAGGCACTCTCAAATAGTCTGAATGTAGATCGAGAGTCGACGAAGAGTGTTGTAATTAAATGAACGAATTATTTCAGGCGCACAAATGCACGCATCCCATTACGAGACCAACGGCAGTTTTTACCGGGAAATACAAGAGGAAATTATTCTTGCGGTTTCTATCTTTCGAAATGCTTGTAAGCGGCATACAGTTATTCATTCTAAAAGTATTCGATATACAGAGACAAGACTGTCGAGGCCAGAAGCAGAAAGAAGTAAGAAGCATAAAAACGAGCACGACTGCAAAGACATTCTTCCCACAAAAGGACAACGCAAGAACAAACTGAGTCGAATGCGAATTATGCACTTCCACATCGGAATACGTTCTCAAGCATGTTCTATAAACGCAGTATCAACAAGCAACAGTTTTATAAGAAAATCGAGTAGTTTCCTACAATTTGTAAATCGAAGTGAGCCTATTATTGTTTTAATCCAGGAGCTACAAAAGATTCTTTCAGCAAAGATGTACCGAGAAAAGATCAGGTTTCCTGTACCCCAAAACGTTGCGATAATAAACTCACCGCTGGGTTTTCGGGGTACCGGAGGCTTGCCGTTGCAGTACGGAATCATGCAGCAAGGGTCGTCCGGGGCTGGAGCCCATCGGCAGTCCTCGAACCCGATGGTGTCGATGTACACCTCACAGCGATCCTGGCACTCGATCAAGCCCTCGGCGTGGCACACACACTTGTGGTCGCACCCGTCGTAGAACACTTCACCGGCTTCGTACGTGCGGTTGTGGTGAAGACAGCCGTTGAAGGCAGCCTTCACAGCTGCAAGCATGCGATCAAAATCGGACTTTAATAGTCGAAGTGACGGCAGACTTGCGGCATTTATTTGCCTGTAACGCTATAGGTGCCTTCAGTTCCTTAAGTGTTTCTACGGAGCCGATTACGTGACCTCAAAATCCCTCTTGCGGGACATTTAGCCGCAGGAAGAGATACTCAGATTGATCAGCAAACCGACCCAAAAGTAACTAAATACCATTAATCGTTACTTCATAAAAGAGAAACGAAAATGTATTACACGTTTAATTCCTTAGAGTAACTGCGTAGGCGAACGCGTTACCTACACGTCTGAGGATATAGAGCACCTCTGATACCGTTCTATCGACATGTCGTTGCCGTGCATTTACCGAATATAACTTCTGAACTGGACTGATATGTATCCCTTTATTGGAACCACTACAAAAATTAAATCGGAATATTTTCGTTCGCCCTCAGGTCTCTCACTACCTTATGCCTCCTAACCGGATCAATTCTATGCGTTACTAGGGAGTTTAGTAGACTGTACATTGTCGTTATAACTACGGTAACGCTACCCGATAACGGTACGATGCATACGCGAAGGTGTCGGCAGAGTATCGGGTATCGTTATCGGGGTTATTAGAACGAACTACTAAAACTCCTTAATATTACAAATTTTACAGTATAGATAACGGTTGAGACCTCTCGACGTGCCCCTTCAGCGAAAAGCACGTGTGAGCAAAAAGTGCTTCACGTTGTTCCGCCGAGCAAAACATTTGGAAGTTTTACGTGCCGAACCAACGAAAGGCATCCGGCATGCCCCAGCGGTGGACTGAGGGTCCGTTTCGAACACCCGGGGATCTTTTGACGTGCAACTGAAAGCTCAGTTACACGGCGCCTTCTCCACAGCAAGGCTCCTTCAGATTGCGGGCACATCGGTCGGTATTCGAACCCGCCACCTGCAGGTATCGGCGTAGACCGGCATTTTACCTCCGAGCCACCGCTCCGGCGAGTGGCGTAACCATAGCAACCGCACGGGATGCTATAACGTGGCCGAGTGCCGCCGCGCCACGTCACAGCTTCAGCGCCGATTCCTATGGCTACACCGCTCGGCGGCGCGATGCGACGCTGCTTTTGTTCACTTGCGTTTCACCATATCCTCCTATATACTGACAAAGCCTGGCAGAGCACCACGAGAAGCGGCCACCAAAATGGAAAAGGTGGAGCGGCAGACAACGGATGAGTGGAAAGCCACGTGACTGGCGCCCCGCTGCGGCCAGACGCCGAAACACACTTCTCCCGAGCAAACAAGCGTGTTTCGGATCCTCACCGCTGCGAAAGCTGTGCGCTGATGTTCAGATTCCCCGAGAAATGGCTCTTTGATACTCTGTGCTACCAGATCCTCGCTCTCCAAATTTGCGACCGGGCACTCTATGGCTCCGTCGTCAAACTGCCAGGCTTTGTGAGCATAGAGGAGGCTATGGTTTCACCCTATCCTCCTCACTAGACATTATTAACACTTTGGAGTGCCACGCCCAAGTGTACCCTGGCGCGTTCCCGTGTGGTTTCAACTTAGGTTTGCTCCCCGCACCTCCCAACTGGGCTGCCTTTTTTTTTTTTTTTTTTTCACGGGTGTCGGGACACTCGAGCAACCGATGAAAACAATGTCTTATTGCGTGATGTAACTTTTTGATGGCATGCAGCATTTTTTAGTTTAAGCGATTTCTGTTTCGGTATGCTTTTTCTGGTTGCAGAATGACGACTCTACGCGGTTCAAACTCGCGCTTCATGGCAGACATGGAGATCTAGAAATAACTAATGAGCTCGGTATTTGACGACTGTAGAAACAAGAGAGCTACAGTTTCGATTAAATGAAGGCTGGGTGATGCCGCTTGAGAGGCTGCCCTCAGGTTGCGAGGTCGACGGGCCACAGCGTAGTACCGTGTCTCGAAAGGTATATAAGACGAGAAATATGCCATCGGCTGGTGGCATGCAGACATCAATACTATTTACCCATAAAATAGTTTCTTCTTTATAATTTACAATATATGTATATAGTTTATGGGCAAACAGTAACACTAACATGCATTGCGAAGAATAATTATTTATAAATTATAAATAACTATTCTTCACAAAGCATGCTACAGTGTTACTGAGACCAAAATAAGCGTTCGGCATGCGGGAAAAAAAAAAGTGGCACTCAAAGGGTTAAGATTCATCATATTTCCTCTGAATGATGGAGTAGACAACTAGTTACCTGGAGCGAACGTCTTCACTTTAACAGTGTTGCTCGACGTGCCGGATTCTGCGTCGCCATCTTCCCTGGGAGGCTTGACAACCTTGAGGTAGTACTCCGTCTCTGGCAGGAGGTTCCCTAGTCGCATCTCATAAGTGGACGGCTGCACCACCCGCATGTCGCTCAGCTTGTACTTCTGCTTCATCCACTGGGTGTCGCCACCGCCCGTCGTCACAACGGCGTACCATACCTACGAGAAAGGGGCTTTGGAACGGCGACCCACACATCAAGTGCAATTGTCGGCAGAGAGAAACGAAGCTGATAAACGCGCGGTAACACCGCAAATACATCACACAAAAAAAAAAAAAAAAGACAGCCATCAGACTCTGCCTCGAGGATTGTTTCTTTCTTGTATGGCGGTCACATTGGCCAAACAAAAAACTGTTCGCAGAAGTGTTCCAAACTCACATACGTGTGAAGCAAGCATGCTTCAACATGCTTGACACGTATCCGCAGATAATTCTGGTCATCATGTGGACAGCAAACACTGTGTCTTGTGCATAATGTGTGAGCTGCGTGAATGCAGCTTAAAAGCCGACGTACCAAATCGTCTCCTGTCGTGAAGAAAAACGGTTCCCAGTTTCCTCGTTTCGGTTCCCTCTCGCACACTTCTCCTAACTCCCCATGGGTTACTCCCCGCGGGAGTAAACCATGGGGAGTCTCAATTCCTCTTTCCCATGGGGAAAGGGGAATTGAGAGTTTCCTCCTTTCTATATGCTCGTTTGCCTTTAAGCAACATTTGGCGACATGGCAAGCAAAACAGACCGTAAACCAAAATTATGAAGCTCAATTGAAGAAAAAAAATGTTTGTCCCCTATCTCTAGGTTGCAAGCGTTCCTTCCCTAGTCGGAATAAATGGATTTGGGAAGAACTTTTCAAAAATATATTATAAATGGTATCGCTTAATTGTCTCGGAAATATTGTGGTTTGTGTAAGAAACTTTGCCAACGGCAATAATTTGCTTTAATTATTAGCTTTACTAATTTTGAATTGTTAATATATGATTAGGGCTTCTTTAAAAAACGCGTCGAAGTTGAAATAAACAACATCTATGAACCTGGGAAGTAAAATTCTCCCAACTTACCTGAACCATAGTGTCAGAATTCATATGCATTGTCTTGTTGTCTTGCAGCATAGTCCATCGGATTTTCACTACCGTGGCATTTTCTGGTTCCGCCATATCCACCAAGAACTTCAAACCTTAAAAAAATAAATCCGAGTTGGTAAATATTGAGCACCCCCATCGAAATTGGCCGTTTCTAAACTTCAGGTAGACTGCGGTCACCTCTTTCATATTCGTAGCTCTAGTTGTTTAAACGATGTTAGAACATCAGCGAAGTCGCAAACTCGCACTGACAATCAAAAAAGCAAATATAATATTACATAAATATGTAAAGTGTTTCTTTTTATTATTATTTCCACAATTTTATTGTACATTTCTTGAAAATGCAACGGAGGTGAGAAAGTGAAAGAACGAACTTCTACTGGATTTATCACACAGCCACCTTACCATAAAACAACTTTCATTCATCGCAGGCCTATAGATGTGTTCAGACAAAACGTACACGTGTCTGTAAGACCTTGATATAACCGTATAAGGCTTAGCTTCTGTCAAGCGCGCTGAGCTACAAATTGCACGTAGATTTTACATCGGAAATTTCGGAGATTACACGAAGCGGGCCAAATTATAATCGTATCAGAAGGTGTCAACACATTTGCCTAATCGTCATTCTGCAAAGGCATAGCCAGCCCCTGTCAGGTACAACTATCGCATCATGGGCAAATTTGCATGAGCCGTGCATCACACAGAAGAGTGACACAACAAACGGCCTGCATCCTTGAACCGCAGAGCGCTCGGCCGGCACATCGTTTAAGACACTGAACGCTTAAAAGACGCAGAGCGCGGCAAGGGCCTAACCATAGCCTCTTATATACTGACAAAGCCTGGCATATCGCCACGAGAAGCCGCCGTCGAAAGGAAAAAGGTGGAGCAGCTGACAACGTATGAGAGGAGAGCCACGTGAATGATACGACGTTATCTAAGTTGTGTGCAGTGCACACAACTTAGATAACAACAACTCAAACGTTCATTCAGGTTAGAGGGAGCACCAATACAACGTAGATAGCGTCTTATCATGACACCTCGGTGCGCACTGCCAAGATTGTGTGGCTGCATTCCACTCATTGCTGACTGTGCTGTAATAAACAAAAACAAAAACAAAATCACACAAAAAATACTTGAGGCCCAAGAAATTGGTAGATTGGGGCCGCAGTGTGTCAGCCCACCCTCTGTATCTTTGTCGGACAAAGAATTACTGTTCCTCAACCATGGATGACTAGTCTGAAACGGTGTGATAAGCGATTTCACAGTTTAAGCCTTTTAACAATGTGTATTTGGGTATCTTCCTTAACGTTTTTTTGTTGGCACCGGAATATATATTGAGTGACAACGAAAATAAAGTTGAGTTGTAAGTAGCGCTGTGTCTGCGTCTTCCTTTCTGTCCGTTGTCCTGTTTTGCTTTTTCACCAGTATATTCTAGTTACGAGACTTTTGTGTGTGTCGTCTTCTGTTTACCTCCGTTCTCGGGGTTGTGTCATGTCTAATCTTCACCAGCTCGTTTGCGCCATGACCTTCCCTACATTCAGCGTTACGAGAAAATAAAAAAGCGTTACTTCCAGGCTGAGGCAACGCGTTCCTTTTGAAACGCTGTAACAAGTAACGTACTTAGTTATTTTTGAGTTAGTAACAAAAACTGACGGTATTTAGTATATATATATTTTTTTTAAGCCACATTTGTTTGTCTGAGCGCTCACCTTCGATGGAGGAGGGTGCCTGGGTGTCGCCCGGAGGGCTGCAGATGAGGACGCGGCAGCAGGAGTCGTTGGGGTCGGCCACCTCCTTGCAGGTCTCGCCCGCGCTGGCGCTGATGAGACTGCACCGGGGCATGCACGAGATGTGGCCCTTGCCGCTGCAGCTGCACCGGGACTCGCAGCCGTCGAAGAACGTCTCGCCGCCCTGGTACAGCTTCCCTCGGAACTCGCAGCCGTCGGATCGGTGCAGCTTTCCTGCGCGTTTAAAGACGAGCCGATAAGTAGACGGCAACGACATGGCCACCTACAAAGTTTTTTTCGAGTAACGGCGTCCACTTCTGGGCATCGCACATCGAAAGAAAGCTATAGTTTTCAAAGGCTGAATCAGTAAACCCATCGTGTTTCAACGTTCCTTCCGAAATATTAGAAAATGTTAGAAAAATAGGCTTTGTCATTCCCTCTGTTCACTTCCCAATTTTTTTCCCCCTTTGCCACAGCAATTTTACAAACGACATAACTCGTACTACTTTTCAGAGGAGGTCAAAGCACGCAAGAACTTTGATGAGCCCGTCATCTTCAATTTGAGTCATTTTCAACTCGAGTGGGGGGTCTAGAATGGGAGAGTCCCTTTATTAACGCGGTGTAATGCAACTTCGAAACGTACTATTCTGTAAAACAAGTGGATCATAAAGTTAACCTTAACTTTACCTTCAAGCACCAGAATAACCAACGTACCTAGCTACCTTAAGCCAGTTTTAAAATCATTTATAGCAACATGCTGAATGTTTCATCGTGTCACGAATGAAAATTGATGAGGCGATGATAACTGAAGGAACTAAACGTTTAATGGGGCGAACTTGTGCCCAAAACAAACAAAACAAAAAAAGGGAACAGAAGAAAACAGCAGAGCGTCGCGGGCGTCGATGTCGGCGAAACCGCAGGATCGAGCGCCGGGGAGAGACTGACCCCGGCTTGCCACACGGAGCGCCTTTTGTACACGCGTGGGCTTCTGGAATCATCGGCGTAGAAGGTTCGACGCGCAGAACATTCGGACCTCCAACTACAGGATTCTCGAATTTACCAGAGTACTAAATTGTAGGAATAAATAAGACACGTTGCTCCCAGAAATCGAACCCTTACTCTTCGCGTGGGAGGCAAATATGATAACCGTTAGGCCACGGCCGCGCTGCCTACTTCGCCAGCTGCGAGCGCGGCAATATGTGCGGCAAACCAAGAAATCTCACCTGGATGACCACCCTGTCTCGCTATCGTCGAGTTGGCGATGTTATTGCTGCTGACGTTACTCCCTTGCCCCGTGCCGGTAGAACTGATAGGGCTGTCAGTGGCATTGACCACGTCTTGCTGCTCGACTATGTTCACGATGGTCGTCATGCCGGTGTCCACAAGCATCTTCTCGGTGACTGTTTCCTGTTCGTAGATAATGGTCGTTCCCAAATCGTCCGTCACTGTCGCATTTTCAGCCGAGGGTAGCGTCGTCACCTGCGCAGAAGGTACAACAATCCTAAGATGACCTGAGTAGATGGACTATTGGCAACGTGCGCGACCAAAAGCGTTGCTGTAGGCGGCCTTCCATGATTGTCCAAACCCTCAATAAAATAGGATTAATGTCAGACTGTTACCTTTGACGGTGTTGGTTTAAGGATGTAATTACTCCCAGCATCCATCATGTTTTTTACGCACACCATCGAAACTGTTCTTGGTAGCTGGGAGTTCTGGATGTGATTTCACAGATAGGAACCAAAAGAAAGAGCCACCTAAACATCTCATTGCCAATAACTAGTCATATTGAGGTCTGGCAAATGTAATTTAGTACTATATCAACTAGGAGTAGAATGCAGCTATCAATGAGCTAGCCGGCGTCGTTTGTTGCCACATCGAGACCGCCTTCCATGCATAGGCTGAGGAAATACTAGACACCCCAGTCGGAAACGCGTTCGAGGCACCACGCCTGAACCCAAGGTGTACCTCGACATCGTTCTTGTCCGGCAGCGTCTCGCTGACGGTCACGTTAAGATCCCGCGGAGCCGAGACTTTCTGGACGGCGCTGCCGTTCCCCGAGGCCTCGCAGGCCAGGACCTTGCAGCAGGAGTCCTGCGGGTCCGTGAGCACCTCGCAGTTTGGATCCATGTTCACGGACGCCTCGTCCAGAGTGAACAGGCAGCGCTGCTGACACTCCACTTCCGTCTGGTCCGTGCAATGGCACTTGAGACTACAGCCGTCGAAGAACACTTCGTTCACCGGGTACGTCTGGTTCTTGTATTCGCAGGTGGCGCCGAGCTTGGAGGGATCGGCGTTGAGCGACGGAGCAGCTGAATTTCCTGCAGTTGTGGATGTTCAAAGATTCTTTCACTGCTTAGACCAATAATATTTAAGTGTTGTTGAACTGCGGATATCTCCCACGAGGTCGTCAATGTAAGCGAGATGACGGAGGCCCGAAGATTTAAACGGATATCGAGCGGAAGCCCCAGCAAAACAATTGTGTATCGTGCTTCTGCTGGGTAATGAATTTTTCCTGCGCTTTCCAGTCCTCATCCCCTTTTATTCGTTAATCGGTATCATATACCAAATGCAAGAAGCGCGAGCTTCTTGCTTTTGACGCCTGATGCCGTTAGCTGCAAGCTAACGGCATCAGGTGTCAGTTGCAAGACACGTTAGTTGTTAGCTGTCAGTTGAAAAAACCGTACCCATAATAAGATATCAATGACTGAGACATTTTTTTATGATCTAAAGGCATGGTGTCGCTGCTATTTTACAAGTCATCGATCAATCTGAGCCGCAAAAATTATTACCTACATATGGTGTCACGTGACATCACATGGTTAGTCGTTATGCCCGATATCGATTCTCGTTCCCATATTGCAATAGGTGGATCTTGGCAAACAAGCAAAAGTGCACAGTGCTTGGTCAAAAACGTTTCCACCGTGACTCATGCCAGTCAGACTTTATACTTACACTGAGTTCTCGCTTACTTTTAGTTGCCCGAATATTCACCTTAACAGTACATTACGATTAATAGCGACACCCACGAGCGGAAATACAAACAGCTCCAGCATCTTGATTACAATTTGGCTCCAAGTCTAGAGCCCCGTAAGTGAAAACGAAAAATCTCCATTTCGAACCTTGAACACATCCAGAGGTGTCGTTGTTCGGATCACCGCTGTAGCCTTGAAGACACCGACAAATTGGCACAGTTTTCTCCGTTACGCAGAAAGCATTGGGACCGCAGAAGACGTTATCGCAAGGATCTGAAAAGGCGGGAAAAGAACACGTTTCGTGAGGGCCCAACCTTTTGAAACTTCGCACTTCCAACATCGTTATCTAGAGTCATAAAACATTTTAAGGTTTTATTTTGATCCCAATCAACTCCCAAAGGCGAGAATTCGACTCATTTACGTTCAATATTAAGCCAGTGGGCTGCGTTACCGATTTCATGCTCGAGGTACGGCGTCGGTATATTGGTAAGTTGCCAGGATATAGCCCTTTTTAAATGCCAAGGAAGGAGAGTCGGGTATCTTAGTTTTTCACACATTTATGAGCTTTTACTCGAAAGGAAGTAACCACCTCATTATATCACCACTGAGTGGAAAGAGTTCACATGTGAGCCCGTGTTCACCTTTGCCAGAGAACGCCTCGACACACACGGCGCCGCCGCACGAACTGGGGCAGCACTTGAGCACTCCGCTGCACTCGAAGTCGTTCTGGCACTCAGTCGAACATGAGTTAGGATCTGTGCTCTGGTCCTCCACAATCTCGGGACAGTGCCCCGATTTCTCCGAGTATGTCTTGGCTGGGAACATAAAGAAAGGAGGCTAAGCACAACAAGAATCCCCGAAGGCAGTACACTTTATATCGGAGGTGAGACTGCGGTGAACGCCAGAAGAACAGCAGCAAATGATAATGCTCGGACTATATGATTAGATCTGAAAAAATGCAATATTCGCAAGGACAATAACCAAATGAACAAACATCATGCTCATTTTTTCGGCCCACATCACATCTTTAAGGTCCAATCATACGCTGAAGTCTGTCATTGGCTGGTATCCTTCTAATGTTCGCCGTGATTGGCTGATTCCCTCTTTGGGACGGAGAACTCGCAGAGTTTTTTTACGAATGTGGTACAAATACTTTAACAGACGACAACCACGTCAAAAGCTCCATGTGTATATCTGTGGAAATTTCAGCAGTCGCGCCCGTAGTCGTTATTAGCTACGTGCGCGACAGAAAGCGTGGCATAAGAGCATTGCCGGACTGTCACCTTCGACGGTGATGGATTAAGAACGCTATGGCTACTACCTTCCCCTGTGCCTTTTTAAACACACCATCGAACTTGTCGTCGCAACGGATCATAAGTAGACGGGGTCACTACTCGTAACATCACGGCGAGGTCAACCCTGGTCGTGACGTCATGGGCGGAAACAATGAGAGGCTGCTACCAAAACATCCAGGCGCTAATAGTCTCGAACACCGACACCGCTCTTATCCCTCTTCCACGCCTTGTCTTCTAGGTATATTGGGACGCCAGTCACCGGGGTGCCTCGGCGGTGACATCCTCACCAGAGGCCTCTTCGGCGTTGCCTCCGGTCTTGCCATGGGCGCAGCGCACGCTGACGCAGCAGGGGTCGTCTGGTAGCGCCTTCTCGTAGCAGAGCGGGTCTCCAGCCATGGCCCCTACGCGCACGTAGGGCTCCAGGCAGCGGTCTTTGCAGTCGCCCTGGTCGTTTCCACGGCACACACATCGCAGCTCGCAGCCCTCGGTGAACTCGTCGCCCACCTGGTACGTGCGATTGTAGCGGACGCAGCCGTCTGCAAGAGATGCCCAACATGACCCGGGAGCTGAGTACATCAAGGCCCCCACGGATGTCTGATCTCGTTTGGTTGTAACTACGCATTGGTAAGTTTGTTTGTTCACAACCCATAGGCTGTGAGTTTTCAAAGGGGCTCCTATGAACCCTGTAGGGTTTCCCGAACATTCTTATAGGTTCCCTGTATGCTATTTTCCTCGACGGTCTGTGTCCCCTAAAGTAGCAATCACGCTGTTCCTGAATCACTCAAAAGACGGAGTATTCGCTGCAGACGTGATGATGGCATTAACTGCGGTCACGCCTCAAGCATGGTTGCTTCATACATGCTCTCCTGGAGGCAGGCACGTAGCCAGGGGGGGGGGGGGGGGGGGGGGCATGTAATGGTGGGGCTAACGGTCACGGTCACGGAGCATGCACAGAAGTAAATGCGCCGTGATCCTGCGCTTCTTTTTTGTTTTGGTGCGTGATTGATTTAGCCAGTGATAGCAAGCGCACCCGAGCGCCGAGTGACGATGCACTTTTCGCGCTGCCTGATTGACTCCATTGGATCGTAGCGTCGGCTGTGGTGGGACCTATAGGCGCGTTCCCACTCGCGAATTTGCGGGCGGATCCGCGTTGGCAGCAAGCTAATTTTGGAGCCGGGTGGGGAGATCAACTCGTAGATAACAGAAAATCTGGATATGGGTCCCGAACTAATCCAAATTTTCCGCCAGCTACGAGTGGATCTCGCCACCCGGCTCCAACAGCCGTTCGTCGCCGGCGCGGATCCGCCCGCGAATTCGCAAATGTAAACGCACCACAAAGGCTGGTTCACACATTTCCGTCGACCGCGTCGCGATGCATTGCGTCGTGCACCGCAGCACCTCCCCATTGGCTAGTCATAGTGTCGCTATAGCAACCCGTACGTTGCAAGTAGCAGTCGCACTCGAACCCAACTGCCTGAAGAAGCCTTTAGAGTGAAACGGAGTATTACAGATGGCCCTCTAGATGCTACGCATTAAATAGAAATCTCTGCGACAGCAGATAAAGTGCGCGGAGATGACATCAGGGCTATTCGCGGGTTTCGCCTCCTTCGTTGGCCGTGCAGAGCCGCACCGGCTCAGCACGGTTGTTTCGATCGCCATCATCGGCCGTCCCCGGGCGCACTTTGGCACTTCTTTCGCGCAGCTTCACGGCGGCACCGGCCAACCGACGAAACCTTCCGAGGGACAGGAAGACGCACGTCGAAGGATGCGGGCGCTAATGCAAGACCTTGGGCCCTTGAATGAAAGACCTCCTTAGCGGCGAAGGTCGTCGCCTCTTTGATATTCATCGTACAAAAAGCGCGCTCGGACACTCGCTCAAAAGTTCAGCACGCTGCGTCGTTTCCCGTAAGGTCGCCGTTCATCTTTAGGATCCTCGTTTAGGCAGGAAGCGTTTACGATGAACCGTGGCGAATGCCATCCCCAGCCAATCCAGCTCTGCGAACGCTATCACGTGACAACGCGTCCCGCACGTCGCTACCCTCTCCCGAAGGGTCATATGACACTCGCACGGCATCGGATTGGCTGAGGTGGCTCGTAGCGTTGTCCACGATCCATCGTGCTGAGATGCTTATTTTTACGTATCCGTTATTTATTTATTTATCGCGCCTGCCAACGGCCACGGGCCTATTACGGTAGTGCGCGTATATATTATATACGCACGCCTGGAAGCTCCGCTCGAGGACAACCCTGCAAAACGTTCACTCGTTGGATATATTAAAAAAAGCCGGCATTGAGAACGTTGTTGACGCGTTCCGTTGTGACTTATGTCACTGCGTCTTTGGGCGCCTCTTGCGAAAACGCGTTGAGCGGCGTGCGTGACGAACGCGCACTATAGTGGTACTGTATATCGTGATTGTAAGCCACTTCCTCGGCTAAGAAATGTATAAACCGCAGCTAGGAAACATACAAATCGGCTTTAATTTTTTCGTTTCTTATGAGCACTCGTTGTCGACTTGAGGTGCTTCAACACGTTGGACGACCACGCCCCAACATCCGGGCACAAAATATCCGATTTCGTTGACGGTGTCTCGTTCACTCACCCGTGGTGAACACCGTGAGCAGCTCGGACGTGGTGCCCAGTTTTCCGGCGTCCTTGTCCTCCCAGACGGACACTTTCACCTGGTATCCCGTTTGTGGCTTCAAGTGCTCCAGCGTAGCCAAGGGTATATTGCCAAACTGAAAAAAAAAACGTGGTTTCAGCGTTGTGAATTTGGCAAATAATCTCACAGACGTTTTTTTTTGTTTTTTTTTTACGCTTTTGTATTTCAGTTTCAACTAGCAACGTTGTAGAATATATCTCCAGCTTGCAACGTTGCGATTTGATCATTTCAGTTTGTGACGCTATAGGTTCCTACTGTTAAGCCAGGGCATGTCGAGATTATATTTCGGTTGGATTACGCCAACTCAAAACGGCTTCGTCCAGGCAACTGTGGCCACTGTCAGATGGGTTTTCAGTTGACTTCACACGGCGACAGTTAGCCGTGATCACGTTGCTAAGACATCATACAAAAAGACAGTCTGCAGACCAGGGTTGGGCAGAAATACCGCAAAATGTATTTGAAAATACTAAAGGCCGGTTCAGACACTTGCGTTTGAGTGCGTTTGACTGCGTTGCGTCGAGAACCGAAAGCGAGTCACCGGCACATCTGTGCTTCGTATGAAGCGTGGACTCCGATTCAAGGAATCATCTTGGCACGCGATAGAAGCAGCAGGGATGTCCTGGTTTCTCGCTGCCGCAACGCAGTCAAACGCAGTCAAACGCAAGTGTCTGAACCGGCCTTAATACTGGGATACACGGCAGACACGTCTAAAATACTGATACCGGAATACATTCATAAAAAAGTATTTGAAAATACAAATACTCGAATACAATTTGCAGAAATACAAGTGGCGAAATAAAGTCTAATGTAGATGGTTGAGCGTGTTGGTTTCTAATTTACAATAAGCAAAGAGGGAAATTGGAGACAAACAGACAGGACTGGCTTTCGACTTTCAACAAAACGTTCCTTCAAAAGTACACGTTTTGTTGAAAGTCTGAAGCCTGTCTTGTCTGTTTGTTTCCAGTGTACCTCTTTCCTTATCGTAAATGTGAAATACAGTTTGTGAAAAAGTTGTTAGATATGTCCGCATACTTTGTAGGATCGGTTCGGTGGCCCCACTAGGGTATACGAGAAAACAGAAATAAATACGATCTACATTCATTGAGCGATATTTGTTAACCAACAAACGAATACTCACTGTAGGATTTAAACGTCCACGTTTTTAAGCCCGAAATAAATAAAGGACCCGTTGAAATTTGTTTGAGATCCAACCGCCGCCGATAGTATCGCGATACCATGAATATACCCGAAAATGTTATTTCCATACTGAAACACAAAATCCTACCGTAAAATTGCATCGCGATACGAAAACAAAAATACAAAAAATATATTTCTAAAATACTATCCCGATACATTTGTATCGCGACACTGCCCTGGTGCAGACACAGTCTGGGTCGTGTTTCTTCCTCGTATGACGGTCCGTCAGATCCGTCATGCAAGAACTCTTTTCCCTCGCTTCCTCCTCTCCCCCATTTTATCTGTCCACCGTTGCCTGTTTCCTCCCCCTCCCCCCTCCGGTGAGGAGGATCTTCTGCCTTGCAGAATTTTCAATCTGGTCGTCGGTCTTTAAGGCGTCGGCCTTTAAGACGTCGGCCTTTAAGACGTCGGCCTTTAAGGCGTGTCCGTATACACGCCTGTCGTCGTGCCTGCAGCCAACACCCGGTCTTTTTTGATGATGTGCGAGCAGTGTGCGAGCAGGCCCCCCCCCCCCCCATCTCCGTACCTGTTCCTGCTCCCACTTGTGCTCGTCGTGCGGCGGCAACTGCCTGTGCTGCACCACGTAACCGGCGTCGTAGCTGGGCAGCTTGAAGTCGTCCCAGGCCAGTCCCAGGCTGCTCGGAGTGCTCTGGGTCACCAATACCTTGGCCGCAGCGGGTGTCGGCATGTCTGCGGGGGGTGGAAAGAAAGGAAGCGACGGAATCAAACTAAGACCACATTCCCGACATCTTGCTATTAGCGCCGAGACGTTTCGGCCGCTCCCTCTTGTGGTTTCCGTCCGCGACGTCATGACCAGGATTTGCCTAGCCGTGACGCCACGATCTGTAATCCTGACTACCCATCATCAGGTGCGAAAGACAAGTTCGGCGGCGCGTGTAATGAGTACGGCGGCAGCTTGGAGTAGTCGTGTTTTTAAACCAACACGGTCACAGTCGGATATTACTTTCACACCCTCTAGTCACACAGGCCGCCTTACCCGCAGCTAAGCGTGACTAAGGTCAGACTTGAATGCAATTTAAGGGTGCCCGACGGGTATCCTATACCGCTGTCACGCGTACGTATCATTAGCCAGTTTCTGCCAACTGTACTCTAATTACACGGGCACCCTTAGACGCGGTGAAGTCAGACCTCAGTCACACTTAACTGCGGTTAAGGGTAACTAGGGTATTACTTCCGTCGATTAAAGCAGAATTCATCTAAAAAATGACGTCTTAGTGGACGTTCGACCAATCGTGGAGTGACGACCAAAACAGTACGCTTTTGGTCGCACACGTCGGCGCTGGCATATCAAGAAACGCATGGCTGTGGTTTATTATCTAGAAGCTTCATGATTGGCTCCTCTGCGTTCCTACCGTCTAATGCCAGAGTCTCATTGGTTGCCCAGCGATAATAAAATTCCCGGGACTTTCCAAGTTCAGGGTTTTGGAGCTGCCATTGATAACCACCAAGATGTAAAGACGATGAAAGGAAGAAGGGGAAAAAACGCACTAGGAAGAAGATATTGACACTGAAACACAAGGTTGTTACTGTTGCTTTTGATGTGTTACGCAACGAACAAAAAAAAAAGGGGGGGGGGAATGTTTGTCTCTAAATAATATCGACCCATAACCGGGGAACATCCCGTATAATACGGTCTGGAAGGAGAAAATGATAAAAAGTTTTGTAACAATTAAATGTCTTGAACTGCGTCTTGGCAGACACGCGAATTTTCAATTCTCGGAAAACTACACCTTTGATACAAGCGTAATATAGGACGTGGGCTGAAAAGTTCGCGAAATGTCTGTGCGTCCGTGTGTGTGTTGGGGGGGGGGGGGGCGGTAGAGATGAAGACGCTCCTAAAAGCCGTCAGCACGCAACAATTTACACCACCCGTCAACGACCCATCAACAATGCGAATATTTATCGCTTTCGGCGCGCAGCAGGAAACGCAAAATCACACATTCCTGCACATACTACATACTTATACCTCGGTATACACACCTGCTTCGTTTCTGTCTCTTTTTATTCTTACTTTTTTATTCGTCAGCATTACGAGTTTACGACCGCCACCATTCTGAATAGCGAATGGAGTCTCGCGATCACGTAGCGAAACGTGCTAAAGCGGTTTTTGTTTTTCTCTTTTTTTTTTTTTTTTTTTGGGGGGGGGGGGGGGGGGACGGATTTTGGCATTTTTCGTTATGGAGAGTAGTCAATGTTGTATTCTAACCCTCCTTCCCTTCCCCTCGCGGTCGTCCTTTGTTTCACCGACACCGGCTTTCTTTACGACGTCCGATTGACCTTGGAAGGATCCCCCCCAAATGTTCGGAGGCCTTCGAAAGAAAGCAAACGTACACGCATGCGCAGTCGTCTCCCCGACGAGTGAAAACAAAGCGTCGGTATGCGGTTCCAGAATATAGGGGTCGTCATGCATGGTCGTACCAGGTCCACACGATACTGGATTCCATTGCGACTTAGGATGGACCGCAGCAGACGCTATATATGCGAGCCATCGTCCAAGCCAATCCAAAGTTGCGCCGGTGTCACGTGACAGTCGAGGAAGGGGGCGCAGCGCGACGCGCGCTGTGCATAGTCACGTGGTACGTTCGCAGCGCTGGATTGGTTGGGTTGGATGCCACAGCGTCCGCAGCGGTCCGTCTTAAGGTGAAACGGAGTAAATATAGTAACAGCTGTCGGCCGTAAAAGTTGGACCCGGTGAGCGGTCCTTTGTGCTCGCACCGGTCACAAAGGCGTCGGGCACCGTGTTCGGGAACGCTCGCCGCTTCGGGGAGCCCACGTTGATGAGAAGTCACACTACTCCATGCCGAAATTGCTTTTACACCTCCGACGCGCCTTCGCGGCAGTCTCGCTCTCGTCCCTGAAAGCTTAACGCCGCGGTCATATTGCTAAGACATATCATACGAAAGACGGTCTGGACACTGCCTCAGGCGTGTTTCTTTCCTTGTATATAGGTCCTGTCGCATTGGTCATACAAAAACTGTCTGCTGCAGTCATGTTCGAAGCAAACACATGTACGACGCAAAACATGCTTGGAGTGCGTCCACAAACAACTCTGTCATCGTGCCTGTAGCTAACGCTGTCTTATTTGGCTCATGTGTGAACAGTTGCGAATGCTGCTTTAAAAAAAAAACGCAGGGCGTGAATTGCGACGCCTGTCAGATCCCCGAAGAATGGCTCATGACGGTAAACTTCGCTTCAGCTACAGTCCAGACGCAGACGACACTACGAGCTGATGGCACCAATCAGAAAGCATCAAGAGCGCACCATCTTGGTGTTGGGTCATGTTTTTGCACATGCTCTATCATTGCTGAAGCACTCATTAACAGAAACGGCCCAGTGACCCTCGCGCTGATTGATTGGTTCGATTAGCTCGTGGCGTCGGCTGAGCCTGGAGACAGTAGCGCAAAAAAAGACGGGACACCGAAGAAGCAAAACACAGGACGAGCGCTAACTTGCAACTAAAAGTTTATGTGAAACTTTCACCGAGCAGACATATTTCGCGCCCAAACACGTGGCACAACGTCACAGCTATCTTGATAAATAAAGTCATTACAAAAAGAAAAATCGAAGTTTTCTGCATGACTAAAGGCGGGAATGGAAACAATGTTGTCATGATTCATGCACGTGCACTACACAATAAACAGAGTCATGATGTAACGGAAGGGTGCATGAAGTTAGCGGTCCTCTTGTGTTTAGCTTGTTCAGTGTCCCGCCCATCTTTTCGCTGTACTCTTTTACCGCGTCTGTCAACAACAAGCTATTCCGTCAATCCAGCCATGATCTCAGTCTGTACTTCGGTTCAAACGAGGTGTAGAAACGTGGAAACAATTAGCCGAGCCCTGCGTTTATTAAGCAGTCATGGACTGCAGCACTGCGTCGTTTAGACTAACTCGCTCATTCACTCTTTAAAATCAAATTTAGTAACTCAAGCCCGATACTCCTCCCATTTACAAAATCGACTTCCGTCGACACGGATCTCTTATGTTACATTTGCTTTTCGTTTCTCGTTTTAATACGGCCTTCGACTTTCTGGAAAGTTTGTAGAGATTTACAAGAAGAGATTACTCGATGAGTGTATAGGAAGTATTCACTGGACGCCATATCTGTGGGTGCTGCTCAAAGCGCATACTCAGAACGAGCCCACATCAATAGGCTGCTAAGACCGGCACTCTTGATGGTGCGGAATGCACGTTGCAAAAGAACTGCGGAAACTCGCCATCAGCACACGCTAAGCATTCGCGCACACAGCTATGGCCGCCAGTGAATACTCCCTATTTGTTTCAGTGGCGCCCTCGTTCGGTTACCTTTCGTGACGTCATTACCTTGTGAACAACAAGCTCGATGGTGTTTGTAATGAGCATTCTGGAAGCCTGAAATCATAGCGGTCTCAAAGCAACACTGCCAACACCGTCAAAATTGAAGTTCTTACTTTCCTCTTATTTCCGTCGATGAGACATCCTTTGCTGACGTCATAGTCAGCATTCGGCCAATTGTGATGGGCCGACCACAGCGACACTTTCGATCGCTCACGTCGCCAATAGAGCCGCAGTCACCCTGCTGATACGTCATACAAAAGACAGTCTGCAAACATGAGACACCGCAATACCTGTGGTTCGAATGCCACATGTCAAGTTTCTTCTCGAACTCATTGCCGTGCGGCATTCGGAGCACGGATCTCGCCGTGACTCGCATTCGTACCTGCATGCAGGCTGTCTTTTTGTATGATGCACTGTCGAGACCGGTTATAACCAAGTCCACGGGAATCGGAAATCACATCGCTATATCCGATATTTCGTTATAACCGATTTCGGTTATAACCGGTTTCGACAGTACAAGCAGTGTGACCCCGGCTTTAGGGCTGCTATCAAGCCTGTTGTAATCAAGTATAGATAGATTAAGTAATCGAAATTGGAGGGGCACTCCAATGAGCCTGTACAATTGGCGGAAAGCAACCAGAATTAGGCATAGGCCTTTCATTTCTTTTAGCATTTCTGATGAGTCAGTACGATTACACCAGGCTCGAATTCAATTCTTGGGCTAGCTTTGCACTTCTTTATTTGTCGCAGGCGCTCATAATTATTCGCCGTTTACGCAGGTTGGGTATATATTGAAACACAGTAAAGAATTGCGCGAGCCTGCTGCTCTTTTCAAGTTGTTATATCCATTGCTCTCCACAGAATGTACATGGTGTGAAAATAAAGCGCTGCGTGCCACTTAAGTGTAAAGATAACTATAGATCACAGTTAACGTAAGCACGACCTGAATTGAAACTCGTGTCCTCCAAGACGAAGCAGTTAAACCTGGAGGAGATACAATGTAGCACTATTCGTGCAAAAGGAGCAACAGTCCGCAAGAACGAAGGGAAGTGTTTGTTGTGTTCCGCTTCACGAACACGAACCAATTCTTCCCTGTTTGTTCCTCGCGGCAAGCAGGCGTCGATTGCTCCCGGAAGTTTCGCGCCTGAAGCACCGCAGACCGCGCTCGAGTCAAAGACCCGCGATGACTATTCGACTCGGCATCTTTGGAAACATATCCTAAGGGTCAGTCTTGGTGGGTTAAAGCTCTCATTGCCTACACACCCATCACGATCATATTTGAATGACTTCTTTTCAAATGCATTATTTCAATAAATTAAAGTGGTATACGATCGTCCGCTGTACACTAATCAGAGAAGAGAAAAAATCTAAGGATTTGTTCAATAATCATATCAGAAATTATCTAGATTTTACGAGGCGCGTGTTTTATGACATTATATGTTCTCGTATGCTTATTGGACACATTCGTATGCTATTTTCTACCAGGGATCTTCTTGCGAATATGGTGCTTTAAATCATACTTTCACTGCAAAAACGTGAAATATCCCCGAGACTTAAAAATTTTGCGGCTTGTTGGTGTAAATCCTTTATCAAGCGGAGCAGTCACCATGATGGAAAAAATTCAACAAAGCAAAAATGCAAAAAAAAAAAAAAACTTTATAGACACACACACAACAGTTATTACGTCTTCGTCTTCGCTGTCGGCAGTTTTATCGTGTCTAACGTATACCGACTAAACCGATTTTAGGCTTCGTAACAATCAAGAGCTGATTGTTGTTATGCTAGTATCTTTAAAAAAATATTGATTGGAGCAATTGTTACAAGGTTTGCACATATGCTAGTATCTTTAAAAAATATAAAAAAACAACCTTTAGCGGAGCGATTTTTACAAGGTTTGCACAATGCAAAACATGATCTATAAAACTTTGTTTTTCTCGTATCGAGTACAGTTTCCAGTAAATGCGGCGACAATGCCTGCTCCAAAGCAAGCCGCGCCGGAGTTACTTAAAGGGTCTAAAAAAGGGTACGCGCTGTGGCCCTGGGCATGGTGAAACGTCATGCTTAAAAAGAGCAGTGCAGACTATTCTTTTTATAGGTCTAGACATGTTTCCAGCTCCGCCATTCGCATAGCTCCCTCCGTAGATCCCAACGATTGGGTCTCCCAAGTGCTTGGCAGGAAAGTAGACGCTCCAGATGCCTTAGAGTGTGTGTGTGTGTTCCCCAGCCTTGGTTTTCTGAACATTATTCCACGTATACCCCAACCTGCCCCAACGCGAGCGCGAGCTCACGTGTACGGTTCTTCGCGTCCTTCTTAGAGCCATTAAACGGTCGACGACGGCAGCCCGCGGCCTTAATCAACCTTAATGCGCGCCGTCGACAGTGCGCCTGCGGTAAAACCACTCCTTCCAACGACCGTCCCCTGGGAGGGTTGAAATCAGTCTGTCGACAGCATGCACCACCAATCGGATCGTGCCGACGTCGGACGGATGATAACTGCTTCCCAATCCTTGAGACTAATCATCCGAGTTAACCGGGAAAGGGAGGTTTCGCAAATTCTGTTTATTCTTAGCGGTCTTCACGCGGTAACGATGCATTCATCTAAACTACTTTTCTTTTTCCCATATTTTCATCGCTGCATAACTAACTACCTTCTCCACGACTTGTACGTGTTTTGATTAAAATGCGCCGCGAAGGAGTACCATACTGACATTGAGGCAAGAAAGACAACGTGAGGAACAGAAATAGTCGCGATGTTTTTCTCGTTTCGGTGTCGCCATTTGTAATCTTTCGCGGCGCAGTTTAATCGAAGCATGAATAACCAACTAGATTAATCCCCAGCACTTGTACATGGCTTGCATGTGACGTAATTGCATCGTGCAAGCCATCTTAAAAAAAAAAACATTAGATGGTGCGAAATATCTGCAGCAGAATGCACGCGACCAGTGGCCAGGCCCCCATCATGGCCGCTCATGTGACTTCAGTGCAAGATACGACGCCTACGAATTGAGGTGCCAAGGCAGCTAAATGTACAGATGTGAAAGCCTTCACTGCTCCCCGCTAGTCCAAAACGAAAAAATGTGAGGCGTCTTGTATAGCTTTATAGAAAGCCGGCGATCCACTCACCTTTCGTCTTGACCACGACCATCTCCTGGGTGCCATCTTGCATGATTCGCACCACGTATTCCGTGCTCGGTCGAAGATTCTTCAGCGTCACCGACGACTCGTTTGGCTGGGAAACAAAGAGAAATGCCATTTGTGAAGGGAACTACCACGGTTGAGTAACGCCGGCTCATTTAAGCTACAACACATTTAAAAAAAAATATTTAATAAAGCAAAGCATACTTTCTTTAAACAAATATACGTGCTTCGCTGTATCTATCTATCAGGTCTACTGACAAACATGCGAGTCAAGACGGAGTGTGCATATGACCAAATAACACGTCTTTTCCTGCGTAACCCAAGGTTTGCTGCATCCTATGTGATTCTTTTTTATTATTTATTCATTTGGCCCTATGGCGCGTACTTTGCTGCATAGCAGACGTGTTTCACTGCACACACGTGGCCTTCTCTGCATATCGTCTGCTTCACTGCGTATCATGTGCTTCACCCCAGCGTTTGTGCTTCATTCACCACATAGGATGTGCTTCACTGCATATGCCGTGCTTCTCTGCATAGCATGAGTAAGATGTCCCCCAAAAAATTTACAAGGTTTTTTTTTGTTTGTTTTTGTTTTTTCACCGCAAAAATAAATTATGCATCGCCGAACGCTGATTCTCCACCCAAACGAAGGTTTAGAGGTTCGAACAAGATGCCAAAGTTTTAGCACTAACCGTTATCTCGATCAAAAGTTATAAAAGATTTTCTTAAATTCTCGATGGGAAAATGGCGGCCGACCGAGTTCTTGAATACACATAGAGAGCACTATGGTGCCAGTTACCGAAAACGGGCGAAAATGATTAACATTAAAAAACGAGCGTGTTGGTAAATACATAAAAAAACGGAAAAAAAAAATGGGCTCCATTTTTCTATCGAAAAGAAAATTTCAGAAAATATCTTTTAACATTTGAATGAGATAACGGTTAGTGCTGAAACTTTAGCATCTCATTCGGAACTCTAGCGCTGCATTTGAGTGAAGAATAAGCGTTTGGCGACATGTAGCTTATTCTTGCAGTAAAAAACAGAAAAAAACTTGTAAATTTTTTGAAGTTATTTCCTGTGCTTCTCTGCATAATGTGTGCTCGAGTAAATATTATCTGTAATTTTTTGGCCACCAGGGCACGGAGGCAAACAAAAATAACAAAAATTAAGTGAATTCTATGTTGTGCATTGCTTTACAAGGTCTGACAGCACTTCGCTATAGCAGCACCCCTCAGATGTTTCCTCACCCTTGTCTATACAGCTTTCCACCTCCCATTCACGTCACTGAATCAGGGTTGTTTCACCCCACTGCATGCTTCGCAGCGATGTTAAGACTATTTTTAAAGTGTACCCATGTCTCCACTAGTACAGCTGCAGACGACCTGTAAAAGCCCAGGACGATCGCGTGGCTCCGGAGATTTTCAGTGCAGTCTAACGGAAGAGAGCTAGTACCCCTGCCACACGGCAGAGTTAAAGGGATGGTGAACCGAAATTTGGATTTCAGAAAACAATGCAAGAGCTGTAGGCGAGACGCTACAATCCCTACAAGGCTACTCGTAAGGCGATATGTTGAGGCAACGGCCGTATTTGTGGAAAAAAAAGGTGGAGATTGAAAGAGGCCGACGAGGCGCGTGACGTCAAGATATCTCGTTTCCTCCTCTCTTCGTTTCGCCCCCTCAAGGCGGCGAAGCGGAGAAGACGCCAGGCTGTTTCCTCTCCTTCTCGGAGAAACATGACGTCAATATATCTGTCAAATACGCCTCTTTTTTTCTTTTTTTTCTCGAAAAATATGGTCATCTGTTTGATATATCGATGTATGAGTGATGTTTTTTTTTATGTTTGTAGCATCCCGTTGCACGCATTTGCCGCCGTACTTTGTGACATCCAGATTTCGGTTCAGCATCCCTTTAATGTCATTTCCTTCGAATGAGATTCCGTTATCGCACAATTAGCGCACGCGCAACTCCTGCCGCAATGTGGTGCACTCGCGACGGTCGTAGTCAGAATTGCGAGCTGATTCGCCGATCACATAATCTCATTCAATGGAAATTACATTAAGGAGTTTTAGTAGACCGTGTTTCCCGCTCCGCTAAGCCCCTCCGCTAGCCGGAACGCTACAGCCAAGACCATCGGCGCACAGGCGCAGTGGCGATTTCTTCGTAGCGGAGGGCTAGCGGAGGGAGAAACACGGTCACAATCGGTAAACAATTGCTGAGTCGACGCCGATTTTGGCGCTGTTTTTTTAGGGGCGAAGCTCCCTAGGGGCTAGCCATGTCCGTATGTCCGTCCGATGTCCGGCTAGTCCGGCGTCGGGTGCTCGTGTAGGGCAAAAAACAAAAAACCGCATCTCCACGTGGTGAATGATGTTGATTGGGGCGAAGCTCTGGTGGTGCTTGTCTGCGTAGACGGTGAGCCGCAGCATGCCGAGCCTTTCGTTCGTTTTCATCCATGTCAGAAAGAGAAGGTCTGGTATGGAACGTGGTTATATACGCACTTGAGCATTTGACCGCAGCGTGACATGGATGAAAACGAACGAAAGGCTCTGCATGCTGCGGCTCAGCGTCTACGCAGACAAGCACCACCAGCGCTTCGCCCCAATCAACATCATTCACCACGTGGAGACGCGGTTTTTTTGGGGTTTTTTTTTTTTTTTTTTTTTTTTTGATCACGCTCGCGTGCTCGACGAAATATTTAGAAAAATAGAAGACGTGTTTATTGTCGTTTATTTTGGAAACTTATTTATTATCAAACACCCAAGAACTGATCGTTAAACTCGCCGACCCGATCGATGACTTCAGCCGCACTTTTCGCCCTTTGACACGGAACGCCTCTACAACGATTGTTGAAATCAATGTTAACTCGGCAACAGCCGGTCGAGCGGTGAGTGACTACGAAAATTGATCAGCCGCCGAACGCTCGATGATGGTTTAGATTTCTTCCGATAAATAGCGCTCTTCTGAGCCACACGCTCGCTGGCTTTTTCATAATGCCAGCGACTGTACATCACGTCACGTGACGGCATGATGGAAGAAGCTCAAGTCGAGCGACACTCACCTCCGCGTTCGTCCACCTGGTGTCGGAACCCGCGTACCTGGGCGTGTAAAAGACGCCCGGGTAAGGCGTCGGGTAGTGCCGCATCTTCCACTGCAGCGTCGCAGAGTTGTGCGTCACGCCCGTCCTCTCGATCAGCAGCTTCCCTGGGAATAACAAAAAAAAGATGCGAGAAAAAAAAATGTAGTCAAACGCCGAGTTCTTGCGATATCTTACGACGAGAGAACGCACTGACAAGCTGGCGCCATCTGCCAGGTCACCCTGAAACTGCATTTCACAGAGCGAATGTTTTGTGGAATTTGCGACATCGTGTATCTACATACTACCTACGATAAATGGTCATTTATACAATTGTCAGAGGTATTTCCGAGTCAAAAATAAAAGAATTATGCGCGAAAAAAAGTAAATATACGGAAATGCTAAGAGTTTCAGGGCCACCTGATAGATGGCGCCAGTGTGTTATCCCGTCGTAAGATATTTTAAGAGGTTTTAAGCATCGCAGTAGTAAGCAGACGCAAAAATGGGCGCTCTCATCGAATCAAACTAGCACTTTCGTTCTTACACCATGCGACACAGTTAATACAAACATAACATCGACGTTTTTTTATTTTTTTTAATCTTTATCTATATTCAATACGCATCACCTCTTCCTGATGCGCATTAATATTCAAGGTATTGGTACACTGCCTCATGCAGGTACAATGTGCGTGCGCATTCATGCTTAGAAAACATGGAAAGACCTCCCGGAAAGTCATTGAAGTTTTCACTGCAGCAAAAGGTTTCCTCCTGTGTTTTTCGCGTGGCATTCATATAAAGATCGCTGTATAGTTTCCAATCTTTCAAACTTCTTATAGAGTTGCATATTCATCTCCCTGGTGAAGCAAACGTCTTTCACTAATATCAGTACAGCGTGACTTTTATTCAAATACAGTACAACGCGAGCAACTGTGTATATATAAAAAAAAATTACATGAAACCAGGTAGGCCTCCACGAGCACTCCAAAGTGTCTTCCAGATTACAGGAATGCTTTCCTAGTTTGAATTAATTATCATAGTCACGAACGTTTTCAAAGATACAGATATTTAATCTTTAGTAGTTAATGGAAATATACACAACTAAAAGAAGCGACCTCAGTGTTGCATATATATGTGAACCCCACGTTTGGAGAGGAAATATGTTATCTTTTCTTTATCCTACGTTAGTTCCTTGCGGTTTCAAATGACTCGAGAGCAAAACGCATTTGCACAATATTCGCGAGTCTGTCGTGTGGAAAACGGTAGGCCCACGAAGTCCAATAAAACAAAACACAATCCCCGTCATATTCCTGTGAAGTCATTGCGGCACGCGCGAAGGAGCATCAGGTATGGCGTCTTAAAAGAAAGAGAGAGAGAGAGAGAGCCGAAACGTGCCATGGACTCGAACAAGCATGGAAGCCGTCCCCAGGGAACGACGCTTGACAGTCAAGGTTAGTGCACTCTGGCCGCTGCGCAAAAAAACCTGTTCTTGACAACTTCATGTCAGCTCGGTGACACCGCGTCAGACTGGGGGCCCCTTGACGAGCGCTGCGCTCCCGCTGGCTCTCGGGATGAACCGGAGCCGATGCTACGGACTAACTCAACCAATAGCGTGTGGTCTTTGATCGTAGGGAACCAATCAGCTGCCGAGAACGCGTGACGCACGGTCACCATTCAGCCGGGTTGAACCAAACCAATGTTGTTGTCTAATGGCGCTGTGCTTTGATGTGGTAAACTCGCGAGGTGCCTTCAGAGCGCACTAGAGCGCGCTGAAAGCACCACGTGAATTCACCAATAGTTTGGTTCGGCTTGCACACTTCTGCTTTGGTTCATCCGAGAAGCGTGAGCGAAAGATTCAAGAAAGAGGTAAGAATATAATTATGAAGCCTGGTACGCAAGCAGAAGAAAGGGAAACTTGTCATGACGATGCAGCCGCGCACTGACGTGTATACGAGCACCGATTCAATGTCGTGCTTTTCTCATTTTCCAGTCAGAGGCTGCCGTTGCAACGCTTCGATTCGGCAGCACGTTCGCCGATGCTGTCATGTCAGATGCTATACTGCTGTCGTTCCAACGAACGCAACCGGCGAGGAAACAGCATCGCGAACGTTAAAGTGAGTAGATGTGAGGTGCGTTTGTTTTGCTCGAGTCTTGACGTTAAACTTGACAGCTGCCAAACGCGCAGGTTCGCCCAGACGGCAGTTAATATGATTGCCCGTTTCATTTATCAGTCACACTGTCATCGCTCTACGCACAGCGCAATGCCTCTAAAAAAAAAAAAAAACTTTATTACTTATGGTTTTTGTCTTAAGACGCAAACATTCAAAATAGCCCACAAAGACACTCTCGCATAGTTCCGTAAAAATACCCGTTACCCTTCCATGATCTCACTAGAACTTACCACCAACGTTGTCAGTATTTATATCGCATGAATCTGTCTATGCCGTACCGGATGTCAACTGTAGCTTGTCAAAGTGGCGATGGAGGCGAGTTGGTACATTCTTGCAAACTAGAGAGCTACAGCGCGCAATAAACAAGGACAGAGATTGGCAGAGAGACTGTCAACTTCTTTCCATCGTTTATTGCGCGCTGTATCGTCAATTTGTAGCCTAACGTAGGTAGTCTGGTTTGCTATTTCATTCGTCCAACTTGTTTCGGCGAGACCACAGGCGTATGAAAAGAAGGCTCGCACATAGAGAGTTCGAGAAATGGACGGCTTTGATGATGATGTTCCCGCTTCTTGCTTCGTTATTGGTTCTTCCGCCGTCTTATCGGTGATTAGCTAAATCTTATCGGCTGCTATTCGATAATGATGCTCATAACTTGCCAAGCCCCACGTTTCTCAAGCTGTCGGTGTCAATAGAGTTTTTGGAGATACCGCGAAAGAAGATGAGATACATCCTAAATGACGTCACAACCCTACGCGGAGAGGAAGTCGTCTGCTTCTTGCGGTGACGTCAGAACGACGCCGAGTTCTGATTGGCTTTAATTGAAAGGATAGCGTGTAGGCCTCAGTGCTACATGCCTTCAAGTCTACCCTCTATTTGTGTTTCTCAATCAGCCAATAAGAGCTCGGCGTTTCGACGTCATGGCAACCTCCGTGCAAGAAGCAGACGAACTCCCGCTCCGCACAGGCTGCCATAGGTAAAGAGAAACAAACCAAGAAACACATAACGTTTTTTCTTTTCTTCTTACGCTAGTTCACGCGTGCCACGTGCCGGCCATTTGACGGGCAATTTGGTTTTCTTTTCTAACCGGAGAGCGTGTATTACGACAAAGCAGTATAAACACGACTCGTAACCTTCGCTTCGTTGCACGCGATCCGTGAAAACGCGTACGGTTAACCTCATCAGTCACGTTCAAAAGCACGATGGCTTGGGTGAGCGGTTGTGAAAGCACAGCGGCTGAGCAGCTTTAATAATGGGCGCCTTTGAAATTCACGGAAATATGTGTCAAGCACGACGGCTCGCGCGTTCTCTCTCTCTCTTTCTTTCTTTCTTACAACAATTTGTCGCGGCAGCGATTGAGCAGAAAGAAAAGAAAACAAGAACACACAGAAAATATACTTTGCTAACGCCTGGAGCGGGACAACAACCACCGCAAAGGAAACGTCCTTTACATTGGGTAGACGTACTTTAGAGCTATCTGCGTCGAGTCGTTGCGAGACAAAATAAAATATATGTATATAAAATCCACAATAAGTATGTCAAGGAGAGTCGTGGGCTCATTTCCCCTGCGCTGGTAGATAAATTTAGCATCTCGTAATTGCCCTCGTAAACAGATTTCCGATAAAAGTGGGCGCCAGATGTGTGCATACATTACGGCTCAGTACAAAAAAAAAAAAAAGAAGAAATTGGCATTTGCAGAGTTGTACATGGCCAAGCCGCAAGCAGTCTCCAGCAGGAAACAACTCCTCGTGCGCAGTGCGGTTCGAGGAATAATCTGGCGCTTCGCAAAGGCGACAGGGCACTAAGGTCAAGTAACCTTCCTTTCGCCTAAATACTCATGCCAGGGCTATGACGCGGAATAACGGGACTAAGATTAAACTCACGCAGCTGGCGGTTTAACAAGGGTCGGTCAGAACGGGTCATATATTATTTATAACCATCTATTATAGGTCTATATATATATATATAGTCGCAACAAGCGAGGTCACCCCAGCTGTGCTCTCCAAACTCAAACGAGAAAAAAGGACTTCCCGCTTACACTTTTTTTTTCTCGACAAAACAACCCTCAAATGTCCTCTTCCGTGTAAGTGTGGGAAGGGCGATGCCCGAAGAACTTAATCTGATCATGTACACTCGAGTTCGAAACCGTTACATGAAATACAAGAATACCGTTGTTTCGACGGAAGGTAACAACTGCGCTGCACAAGAGCCCAGGCGATCAGCAGGAGACTGGTCAGTGAGCAACGCACCCCGAGCCTCGTCGTTCGCCGACCTGCCAGACATTCAATCCGGTGTGCAGACGAGTCTTGAAGCAATCTACAGACGCGGGCAAATTAAGAAATACGGGACGTGTCTTATCATCTTCACGCTACTTGATCCGTGAGTCGTTCGTTTTTTTGGCTCGCTGCACACCACACCCTGGGTTTACTTAACGTGCCCGTGACCCTTTACCTTCTCTGCTTGTCGACTAAAGGCCGACGACCAGACTGGAGATTCTGCAAGGCAGAAGATCCTCATCATGGGAGAGGAGGAAACAGGCAAAGGTGGACAGGGTAGAAGAGGGAGAGGAGGAAGCGAAAGAAAAGTGGAAAGCGTGAATCGGTTGCCGGTCTTTAAGAAGTTACCCTAAAATTTCCTTTAAACATTTGCGGCCCTATCTCCTAAAACTTTGAGTATCAATTTCTGCATAAATCCCTTTCTATTTTTTTTCTGCTGCTGGCGTTGTTCTTAAGTCCAACTAACAGATACATGGTCTCTCGCTCCGTAGAAGATTTAGGATGAATTGTGCCTGGCACTGTAACCCTGTCTTCTTTAGCATAACAGTATCGACCACTACCGATAACAAAACCGAAGTTAAGAGAACCACCCGGTAGCAGCCAGTCGTCGAGAAAGCGGCAGGGCGAGCGTGCAAGCAAGCCGGCAGCCACGGCCACTGCTCCATCTAGAAGCCGACGGGAGCCGCC